ATATAAGCTAAAGGATTAAAATTATGCCTTATTTCGTCATCTGGTGATGCAAAAGATAATTGTCGATAATACTCGTATAATTCCGTTATCTGCTAGTTGTACGTAAATAATTACATCATAGAATTGTGATTACAAGTGTTTAATTTAAAAAACAGACAAATGGATTTTATTCCTTCAGGTAAGGAAGGAATAATCGTCTCGTATGTTTATCGAACATTAAGATTTTGAAATTCGTTTAGAGCACCAACACATGAGATTTAATCCTCTGTTGGAAGAATGGATGTTAGTTTCTCCTCATCGCATCAAACGACCTTGGAAAGGGCAGGTAGAGGATTCCGTGGAAAGGCACATTCCACCTTTCGATGCTAATAATCCTCTTTGTCCGGGTGCCACTAGAGAAAATGGCGAGGTAAGTTTAGAGAATGGATGACAAACTTTAGAAAACAGCGGTCAGCATTGATGGTCCGCGAGAAAATTTGGGGTGGTCTGTGGAGAAATTTGGACATTGATCAATCAACCGAAGCATACGCGAAGTATTATGAAAGAAATGCAAAATGCTTGGTTGGTTTTTTCCACGCTCATTGTGAGTTTTTTATTCGAATCTAAAACCAAATACGAAGTAACTGTTATCAATAAATAATGAACAATAAACAATGTTGTGAGTGCGATTGTCGTCCTTTGTGGAAAAGCTCTAAGAATCCATAAACTTATTTCAAACAAGCAGCTATGAACTTTAGGCTTGCATTAATTTGTTATAATTAAACAAGTGAGTTTCATATTAATATAGTAAAATTGAACTTTTATGATCATTAGTCTACAGATTTTGTATCGTTTAAAAAATACATGACAGTGGTCCGCGAAATTCAAAATTGTGAGCTTAGTAGTTCGTGAGGTCAGAAAGGTTGCAGACTGCTGCACTAAAAGAGCCTTCCTTAGACCCGGGACTGACAGTCGGACGAAACCGATTTATTAGTAAAATCATCATTGAAAATTTTATGATTGTGAGATAATGCAACGCAACACGAGAGCTATTTGCCAAGAGATGTGCCTTCTGGGAGGACTTTCTGTGAAAGCAGGCTCCCGTTTAGATATAGCATACGTGAAAAAATACCGGAAAACTTGTGACCAGTCCTTTGGTCAGCACAAAACAGACCAACTACTAGTGTTCAATGGTTTAATCAGGGCCGGATTAACCCACTTTGGGGCCCTAGACATTTTCTTCTTACGGGCCCCCTTTCTCACACTAGAAATAGAGCGCACAAAAAATATAAAACAATAAATAAAACAAAACTAAATAATGTGAAAAACTAAAACAAATCTTAAATTTTTATTAATAAAAAATATTTAATACACAACAATAAATTTTAGTTTCTCTTTCTAGAAAAACTAAAATTTATTGTTGTGTTTGAACAGTTTGTTTATAAATTTAAAATATTGAAATTTGTTTTATTAAATGTCTAACAAAAGTTGTTGTAAAATAACAATATTACCTTAAAAAAAATAATTGTCAACAAGACTATGTCTTGTTTATAAAATCGTACTGCTTGCTGTGTTACCANCTTATTTCGTCATCTGGTGATGCAAAAGATAATTGTCGATAATACTCGTATAATTCCGTTATCTGCTAGTTGTACGTAAATAATTACATCATAGAATTGTGATTACAAGTGTTTAATTTAAAAAACAGACAAATGGATTTTATTCCTTCAGGTAAGGAAGGAATAATCGTCTCGTATGTTTATCGAACATTAAGATTTTGAAATTCGTTTAGAGCACCAACACATGAGATTTAATCCTCTGTTGGAAGAATGGATGTTAGTTTCTCCTCATCGCATCAAACGACCTTGGAAAGGGCAGGTAGAGGATTCCGTGGAAAGGCACATTCCACCTTTCGATGCTAATAATCCTCTTTGTCCGGGTGCCACTAGAGAAAATGGCGAGGTAAGTTTAGAGAATGGATGACAAACTTTAGAAAACAGCGGTCAGCATTGATGGTCCGCGAGAAAATTTGGGGTGGTCTGTGGAGAAATTTGGACATTGATCAATCAACTGAAGCTTACGCGAACTATTATGAAAGAAATGCAAAATGCTTGGTTGGTTTTTTTCACTCATTGTGAGTTTTTTACTCGAATCTAAAACCAAATATGAAGTGACTGTTATCAATAAATAATGAAGAATAAACAATGTTGTGAGCGCGATTGTCGTCCTTTGTGGAAAAGCGCTAAGAATCCATAAACTTATTTCAAACAAGCAGCTATAAACTTTAGGCTTGCATTAATTTGTTATAATTAAACAAGTGAGTTTCATATTAATATAGTAAAATTGAACTTTTACGATCATTATTCTACAGATTTTGTATCGTTTAAAAAATACATGATAGTGGTCCGCGAAATTCAAAATTGTGAGCTTAGTGGTTCGTGAGGTCAGAAAGGTTGCAGACCGCTGCACTAAAAGAGCCTTGCTTAGACCTGGAACTGACAGTCGGACGAAACCGATTTATTAGTAAAATCATCATTGAAAATTTTATGATTGTGAGATAAAGCAACGCAACACGAGAGCGATTTGCCAAGAGATGTGCCTTCTGGGAGGACTTTCTGTGAAAGCAGGCTCCCGTTTAGATATCGCATACGTGAAAAAATACCGGAAAACTTGTGACCAGTCCTTTGGTCATCACAAAACAGACCAACTACTAGTGTTCAATGGTTTAATCCACCAGGTCACTGAGGGCGAAAGCTTTGAGGATCTAAACATGAAATCGGATAATTCGGGCTTTATCGTTTCGTCCACCCAGCTGTCGTTGTAGAGCTACTCATTAGAATTAAAGTCCTCGAAAATTTTGATTTTTAGTGAAGCGTTTACCATAAGTCTCTTGAGATCACCGATTTCAATATATCCCACTATTGTTTCACTGTAAGTTGCCTTAGTTATGGCTCACTTATACGCAATTTATCTGCATCATAGAATTGAATACTTGATTTCGATCTAATACAACAATTCTAATCGACTCTGCTTCCGATTTGACGTAGGAATACGGACGAAGACAGAGTATTCTGTTTTCCAAACATATTCCACGTGTACTGTACAGTACACTGTAGTTGGAATATATAGGCTATATATCAAGAATACAACATGTGGAATGTGTTGTTCACTAATGTTAGTAAGAAAGTCAATCATTTATAATTATATCTTTAAGTTCAAAAGTGGAGTTAGTTTATGATGTCAATTATATTGAAATAGAGCACGGAACTGTGAGAAACTTGTCGTTTTTTTCATTGTTTGCCACAGAATATAGAAAAAGTTTTATACTGTAATGATCTTAATTCTTGAGAACAATATTGGTTTTGCACTGCAGACCTACATTAATTCGTGTTTTTTATGACCTCAGAGTAATCCCGATTATACGAGTACATTTCTCTTCGACAACGATTATCCTGCACTAGTGGAAGATGTTCCTAATCCTCGTAAGTAGAGTTTTTAGTAAAACTGTTCGTAATATTATTAAAATCGAACTCTAAACTCATTCTGTATTCCAGAGGAGAATGAGCATCCGCTATTTCGAATGGAGTCTGCGAGAGGAAAGTGCAAAGTCATGTGTTTCCATCCTCATTCTGACGTGACTCTACCATTGATGACGGTAGACGAGATATCCAAAGTAATTGAGGATTGGGTACAACAGAGTGTAGAATTGGGGAGACAATACAAATGGGTACAGGTAAGAGTACATCTGTGTTTACAGTTTACCAATTTAAACTTAAAATTACGTTTCTTAAGATATACTAATTATAGATATTTGAGAACAAAGGAGAAATACAAGGTTGCTCCAATCCTCATCCACACTGTCAGGTAATTGTAAAGGAAAAGTTTATTTTGTAATAACTTGATATACTTTCATATAAATATAAATTTTAATTTATCCATGAAAAAATTAAATGAATTGCGTAGATATGGGCAAGTTCGTTTCTTCCCAACATTCCTTCAAAAGAAGACAAAACACAGAAGAATTATTACATAAAACATGGCACGCAGATGCTTCTGGAATATCTTCACGAAGAATCAAAGCGTAAAGTGAATGCAAAACTCGAGTATTGTTCAAAATTAAATTATTTTTCTATTCTTATTAATTAAACAATTTAACTACAGGAAAGAATCATTCTGGAGAATAAACATTGGGTGGTGTTGGTGCCATTTTGGGCAGTTTGGCCTTACGAAACGCTTCTTTTACCAAAGAGGCACGTAACAAAATTGGCTGATCTGAACAACGAAGAAAAATATTGTAAGGTTAATATCACGCGCGTAAAATTCGCCCCAAAAAGCACTGAATGTTTTTCGTTTGTTTCACTTTCAGCTCTTGCTGAAATAATGAAGCGGCATTTGACCAAATACGATAATCTGTTTAAGACGTCATTTCCCTATTCCATGGGATGGCATGGTGAGTTTCTTCCGTTATAGCATTTATCTTTTAATTTGTCGATCGGACGCTCAAACTTTTCGTACTCGCATTGCAGGTGCTCCTACTGGTAACGATCATATGCGTGCCAATTATTGGCAGTTACACGCTCACTACTTCCCTCCCCTACTTCGTTCCGCTAGTGTAAAGAAATTTACTGTTGCATACGAGATGCTGTGTCAGTCTCAAAGAGATTTAACACCCGAACAGGTAGATCGTACAACATTGCATTTTAACTTATGATTAACGATTCGTTGATATATACTCCATTTTATATTTAGGCTGCCCACAGATTGAGAAGTTTATCAGAAGTACACTATAAATGTAGCTGATTTTAATGAGTAATTTTATATATTTATACGAAACTATCTTTTGCATGTAATAAAATGTACTGTACATTCTATAATTAACACTATTTTACATTAATATGTTTATATTACATAACATTATTACACATCATTGCCTGTATTTTAATATTAAAACTGTGAAGGCACCAGCGTAATGTAGAATACGAGGCTATCTAATTATTTCCATGATTGGCTGCCGTGACTTATACTGCCCATGAAATATTGTGCAATTTGGACAGGATTGAAACATGGATTTTCTACAGTGATGTGCTAACACGTGGTTCTGAAAGCACAATTGGAGACGTGTAAAATAATGGAAAAAAATTATAGAAATTAAATTATTATTGGAATACAGTAGAGCGTCGATTATCCGAAAGTCAATCATCTGAAACGTCAATCATCCGAAAGAATTCCAGTCAGCAAATTTAAATTTTCGCCAGTGCTGTGGCGCTGCAATTTTTGGCTATGTCTTGGGCTACTCAAATATTTTACGTTTTTGATACTAAATTAACATCTGAAGTATAATTTTTTATTGTTTTTATATTTTTCAATATATTTATTTTATTCGTACAAAATAAAAAAATAATTTTTAACGATACAATAGTCTTCGTTAGGCTTAACATCGACGAAAATTCAACGCGAAGCGACACGCAACGGAGAAAAATGTCAAGATGGGATAAATTAATATATTTTTTGCACATAATCGATTATCCGAAACATCGATCTTCCGAACAACCCTAGTCCCCAATTGATTCGGATAATCGACGCNACATCGATCTTCCGAACAATCCCAGTCCCCAATTGATTCGGATAATCGACGCTCTACTGTATTTTTCTTTCCCTTTTTTTTAAATTTTGTTAACCACGAATTCTGTATAAACGTGTGAAGAATTCAATGAATCTTGAAGCAGTTTAGACGTAAGGAACGAATGCAGATGGAAGAGTACGAAGAAAGTTCTACGAACAGATCAAGAAAATTCCGTCCATATTGATCTAATAGATCAATATGGACGGAAGAGATGGAAGGACTGGATTTATCGACAAACTTCTAATTAAAAATTTCAAAATAGCATTTTAATTTTAAAAAGGTATTTCTTCTATCAATAGAAGAGAAAGCGCTTTATTCAATCGTTTGTATTCGATATTGTCGCAGGGAGAATCACCTGCGCTATCGATCAAATGATAATTTTTAACATTTGGAATAAATATTGGTTTGTTAAATTCGATTCTCATTGGAATTCCACTAGCTATCAAAGAAGTCACCGCCAAATCTTCATTTCCTAATTTCATCATCATCATCTGGATGATGTACGAAGGAACTGTAGGAAACAACATGTTCAAACGAACCTCTGGATCTTCGGTTTTTCCCAGTTTCATAGACAAGAAGTTCCTAATGGCACGGCTCGTCGTTACTTCTGTCACATAGAAAGATATCTTCAACAGCATACAAAATACGACTAAGATGGCGAGTATTATAAAGTACGTTGTCAAAAAGTGCTGAGAGGATGCTTCGAATAAATTGTACGTAAATTTGATGCAGATTCCGTCTCTGTAAAGACGGAAGACATGTTTTCACGTTTTTCAACGAGAGATCAAGGAGAAACAGACTGAATGTCTCATTTAGTTGTGTGTGGTAGCGATACCGTGATTATACTGGACACTTTGTATATACAGTAAACTGCCGATTATCCGGTTTGCGGATTATCCGTGCATGAATTTAATTTTAAAAAAAATAATTATATGTGTATGTATTTTTTAAATAGTTGCGCGCTTTCGCGTTTACGCATTCCTATAAGTGTGCACGTGTTCGTATTTAAATGTTTGAAGCAGATGGTGGGGGTATCTGAAGTCAGCTGGACTGCAGTGGCATGCCCTCATTGGAAGCGGTGGATGCGCTGCTTTCCTTGTATTTTCTAAAAAATAAATACATATTAATTTTAATTATATGAAAATAATCGCACAATATTTTATTATAACTGCACAATGTATCATATTAGAAATTTCTATACTATACGTGAAAAAAAAATAAGATCGCTATTGTATATTCGAATATTAGTGGTGGAATGGAAGCACTGATTGTCAGCATCCAAAATGCCAGATTCGCGCATGCGCTTTACAGAGCACCAACCTCACCCGGTTTAGCCGGTGGAAACTTAGGACCTCGGGTGGATGCTACACGTATACCGCATCCAATTCTATCCAGGACCGGTTCTGGGCTGTTAGCAGCCTGCCCGCTAGATATTTGGNCCGATCAATTCTACACTGCATATTCTTCTATTGTTAGAGTTTATGGCATCGTGTATTGTTCGATTATGTTTCGATTTAAGATTATTCACAGCTTTCGAATTAGCGCAAATTGTACAAGTGTCATTACTACAAACGGGCGATGATGCGTCACTGCTCCTGTATACGATGGCATCAAAGTCTGTGGCATCCTGCAAGTAATTTGATGAAGGCTCTACCGAATATACCTCCTCTTCAGTAAAAATGATGCCCTGAAATATCTCAAGATTGAAGAAGCCAATTACCGAAGATTTAGGATTTCCCACAAGCCAGCCACTGTATAGTTCAATGCCCAACTTCGCCATTTTGACTATTGTGGTGTCGTTTTGAGTATGACGAATGTGCATTATTGCGTCTGGAGAAATTGTGGTAGTCGAAACCCGATGGGCGATAACGTGAAAATGTCTATTAAAAGCCGAAAATTGAAAATCCATCTTCCTGCGAGACTTGGCTGAAAAATAAGAACTCTTGTTAGCGACGTGTTTAATTAAGCGGAATGGTTCGTACCTCTTCAGATTCGGAACTTTGAAGTTCTTATCAACTTGAGAATTATCTGATGGCACGCAATTGAACGGATTTATAAAATTGTACAGCAAAACGTAAGTTAGATATGAATATTTAATTCGTATATTTTGATTTTTAAATTCCATTCTGATACTTAACATTCGAATTTTGAATTTGAAAAGAAAACGTTTTTATTGAACAATTGTATATTTTATATAAAATTTCATGTAATATAATTTTAAATAATTTGTTAGCATTATTTAAATTTTTCGTGCTCTATATTTAGGCACGGTTTTATAAAGTTTTATACAACTGGCAACATAGCCAGTTCTGACTAGGCTACATTGTTGCCGGTTCTGATTAACATGGGTGGCAACGTTGTATAAGGATTTTGACGTGAATTATTGTTCGGGCATTTAAGACCTATCTATTATTTAGTTAATTTAATGTATAATTTACTTATTTTTAAAATTAAATAACATTTATTTACACACAATAATAATATAGTTGAAAAGACATTTTAAAAATCGAATATAAGTCAAGCCGCCATTTTAGTTTCAAAGATCGTTATCAAATATTCTATGAATCATGCATTAATAGCAGTCGATTGACATGGATTATCATTTTCTGTCTCGATAAACGTTTCTTCGTCCCGATCTTCTCTTCCCATATTAATAGCTGCGATATACAAACAACAGGCCGATAAGCAAATTACGCAACCTATTGCAGCTATACCATAACTACTGTCCAAAATTATAATCATGGCGTGTTTCGAGGGTAGATACGTCTTTCCTTGAGTGGCGAAAATGATGAGAAAAGTGGAAATTAGTAACAAGACAAAACCCAATATTATCACAACTACGATGCATTTGGAAGAGATCTTCAAGCAGCAAAGAGTAGTCGCGCTGTCACCATTAATGCTGGAACGAATAACGGCTACAATATCGCGATGTCTCTTCATTTTGAATCTATATAATTAAAAATAAATCAGTTAGTTAAATTTTTTGAAAGTTTTACAAAATAATGGAACATCGGTTATCAAAAAATATCTTTGATTTTAGTACACCCTATACGGATTTATTCGCGGAAAATGGCTTTAAGTTACTACAAAATTCATAACTGCTGTGGCAGATATTCAAATTAGATTTGTTGTGTTCGTGAATAAGCGTAAGAATTTTAATTAATATTTCATTTTAAGGTTATTTTTTACGTCATTAGTGAACTTTACCTCTTATTATCACTTATTAAATAAATCTTATCAGTTTCTCTGAATATAATATTAAAAAAAAAAGTAGAAAATTATGGTTGATTAGTTGAAAAATGGCGTCGTTTAATTACATTCTTGTAATTACATTTCGTAGTTTGTTTTTATTTCTGAATAATTAAATAATATGAATAAATGTGTACTTACCTTCAATTAATAAAATTATTTGTTTCGATGTAATTTTCTTTAAAATTTAGAGAATTTTTAGTTCTGTATGCCTGTTTGAAAGTTATCTTATCTAGCTTCGTATTATCGTGCGTTGCGCATTTTATTTTAAAGATTAGTTTTGATTTTTATTTTCAAAATAGTTTTCAATTTAATAGATTTTTTTTAATTAAAATTTTCTTCCATTAATTTAATTAATTACTCTGCTGTGTTTCGTTTTGGTGACTAAATTGCAGTAATTTTCCCCTATCTTTATATTGAAAGTATCTAGTTCCACAGGTATTTCGTTGCTGTGTAGTAGTCGTGTGCAACTTAATAAAATTGCTTTGCCAGGCCCCTGGGCCTGGCAAAGTAATTTTATTTTCCTGTTTTCTGCTTCGTGCCATTATGCAACTCCATTTAAGCTAGATTCTCCAGGAACGTTCAAACTGCACTTGATCAGTGAAAAGATGAGAAATAAATTACATATTAGTAATTTGCATGTTATTAGCATATATTATTTTAGTATCCGTATATTGACGGCCGGATGGTCAAGGTGCCAGCCTACCGCTCTGGAGGACCCGGGACCGAATCCGGACGGGTCGATAAATCCCAGGAATTTTTCGGAGGATGGTCCGTCTGGATATGTCGGGCCCCGTCCCTCACCACTCGGTCGTCCCATTGTGGACCTGGCCGAACCCATAATGGGCTTAATTAAAGAGGCCCTCTTAGTGCCCACAGGGCGGAAAGAGTTTAAAAAAAGTATCCGCGTACTGGTGGTTATATAGTATGTTGGTAGTCGTCAGGCGTAATGTGTGCCGTTTCAGCGGTAATAGTCGGGTTTTGGGCTATGTGTAATTTTTTTTATAGAGTTTGTAGCACTTTGGTAGAGGGAAATGGGTAAAAAAAGAATTGCGGATTGGCTGCAGGGTTTTTTTCGGCGGATGAGAGGTCACCCAGGTGAAGGAAAAGGGTCCTTGGTTTGTCTTGTGTTTTTTGTGTGTTAAGGTGTTCGTAGTGACTGCATGGAGCAATGCAAGCAAAATCTACACGGACTTGTATTACCATCTGGAAATGAAAGAATCTGTTTCCATCGGCTGGAATATTTACCAGGTGATGAAAATGTTTTGTTGGTAAAAAGTAATTGTCAGTAATGAACATTGCCCGACATTTAGTTTTCTTTTCGTGAGACCGACGTGTCAGGGTTTTACCTAAAGGACCTGTACTATAGCAAACTCGTTGTACGGACGAACCTGGAGAGTTCGTGGGTGTCTGTATGTGCGACCTGGCGAACAAATTTGTAAATTTTTGTATATATTTATTTTACTTGTACATAAACTTATTGTCAAGTTATTTTCATTTGTCCCCTTCTCACGTGGGTAATTCATTCCCTTTCACAATAATTTTAGTATCGATTATTGTGATTTTTCACAAATGCCTGCAACGCCACAAAAAAAAGTACGAGCCCGCCTAAGGCTGTGTACACATTAGGCGTTTTTAAACGCGCGTTTTAAAGAACCAAGAGTTCTGCATAAGTATACACACTCAAACGCGCGCTTCTGGCCAAGCGCGCATTAAACGCGCGTTGATAGATTTTTCTTAGAACGCGCGTTTCGCGGGCGTCAGCCGCGCGTTTTGAGATATATGTGCTGCCATGTTATTGTACATTCGATCGCGCGTTTTCGGGTAAAGTGGACGCACTCTATTCTATTCTATTCTCCACCCTTGGTTCATATGGAGATTACTGCATAGTGGGCGCACGTTGGCCGAAATGGAGAACGATCATTTCGATACTGATGTTGATACCGTTTTACGGCCGTAAAACGGTACCATCCACCAATCAGAAGTCAGTGAAATCTAGGTCATTGTGACACGGTGCGAAAATGGCGGAAAACGAGCTTTTGTGTATGTTCTCTCGCAGCTACTCTAGAATAGATCTGGAAAGATTTATCGAAAATATCCGAAAGTATTCGTGTATCTACGACAAGAAGTATCCCGATTATAATAATAGATGACTAAAACACGCGATATGGACGGCCAAAGGAAAATCCGTTAATTTACAGGAGTATATAATAAAAAAAGCTAAGCTTATAAGTGCTGTATATTATCTTAATAATACGATAATAAAAGTTAATATATGAAAGTAAAGATATTATTTTTACTACATTTGTAATTACTGTATAGTACAGAAAAAACTCGTAGAATATAATCATTGTCTTTATATCGATATATCGCGTATATAACCGTCGATAGTACCGTCGCCGTAAAAACTTTGCTAGCCGGACCTCCATTGTAATCCAGACACAAACGCAAATAGGTCACGTGATTAAAAGTTTTTACGGCGAAGGTTTTTAGCCTGTTTTTACGCTAGTGGAGTCTTGGCCTTATCCTGAAACAACTTGCATAAACATTCGAAACTGACGACAAGAATAATGTTCTATGATAAGAAATGATTACGAAAATATTGGACATAACCACGATCTCCGATCAGACTGAGTAGGTTTGGCCGATCTATACTTGAAGGCCGGTTCACACCATGGATATTTCGACATGGAGTTAGGTGGTGACGCCATTCCGAAGAAAATAAATCGTGTTCTCCATTGAGAAAATTTCGATCCTACCGTAGTGTGGAATTACCGGTATAGCGCCACGCTCTGACTAGTACATGAATGCCACTTTAAAATTATCGTCGTCGCAATTCGATTCAAAACAAATTGAACAAGCCATTGAATTTTAGCCTAGCGAGCAGTTTCTTAGTGCGATATATTTTTTCGTAATTATGTACAGTACGTTAGCATCTGTTTGCAGGTTTGAAGACACTTTTGATCCGTCTTGCCGTCGTCTCTGAAGATTGCTTTAGTTTTTAATTGCGCTTGCATCTCTCTTGCAAAAAATATCTACCGAACACAGATTATTGTACGAGATTGTATCCTGATATTAATAATGACATACTTTTGAACTTTGAGAGTACAACAACAACAAAATTACGCGGATGAAGCTCAAGGTCCTAGAATATTTTAGTACCTTGGGTGAAACTGGCTCGTTTCGTTTCGTCATATATTTTGCCCGTGTCACAATGCATTAATATCAACGAAATAACCTTAATCCGTCACGTGGAAAATTTTTAATTTTTTAACAGTTGCTAATCGTTTTCACGTTCTTAGATCTTGTACTCTAGTTTTCACTACGTGCGAACGGCGCCATCTGGTGTCGATACCCGGTAACCTTGGACGGTAAGGAAGGAGGCGTATTGTCCCTAAATTCAGCACGTTAGTAGTACAATTTAACATTTCGATCCAGTCCGTCTAGAAAATGCAGTTTATTCCTACGGGTAAGAAGAATTGCGTTCGCGCCTTGGTTTATTATTTAGAGTTTATTAATTAACGTGTCTGGTGCTTACAGAACATCAACACGTTAGATTCAACCCGCTGTTAGAAGAATGGATTTTGGTCTCTCCGCATCGCACCAAACGGCCTTGGCAGGGTCGAGTGGAAAAACCTCCGGAAAAACACGTTCCTCCTTTCGATGCCAAAAATCCTCTTTGTCCTCGTGCCGTCAGGGCTAATGGAGAGGTGAGTGTAAGGCTGAGACGTCACAGTGAAGAGTGAATTACTGCATTGTATGGAAGTGAAAATCGAAATGGTTCGACTACCACGCTTAGTAGTAGCAAAGAAAAACTTTTGTTATTAGGATTACTTCGTAATGAATACACAAAAAGAAAACCAAGAATGTGATGTTGCTCTGGAAACAGCAAAGGATAAAGGACTTCATTATTCTTTGCTAAGAAAATAGATATACCTGGGAGACCCAAAAATAATGGGGAAAAAATCGTGTATTTAACAATTTCATATTTTAATCTCCTTCAAAATACTCTCTATTACCCATAATACACTTGTCCAAAATACCTATAAAATTTCTGTTCCTAAATCCCTCCTAGCATCTCCATTATTTTTGTTTTCCCCTCTTCTACTGTCTGAAATCACTCCCCTTTGAGCTCCCTATTTGTCCTGGGGAACAAAAAAAAAATCGCAAGGTGCGAGATCGGGCGAATGGGGGAGAAGGGTCATGCCATTTCTTGTCAAAAACTGCTACATGGAGAGTGCCATGTGAGCAAAGGCATGGTCATGATGGAAGTCTTTTGAGGACTTTCAAATAACAATGTTGATTGACAATCTGGCTTGGATGGATGAATTTGGAATTAACTATTTCTTTCCTAAAAAAACAGATTAACATGATTTTCACATTTGATTTCACTTGTCTTGTTTTGGGACTGGGAGATCCTGGTGTTTTCCACTGGCTGGATTGATGTTTGGTTTCCGGATTGTAACCGTAACACCACGTTTCATTGCCAGTTATCACCTTTGAAAGAACATTTGGAAAATGATCCGGACTTGTTTTCTAAGCCTGACAAGTTGTCAAGCGATTGCCTTTCTGATTGATAGTCAACAAGTGTGGAATAAACTTTGCAGAAACTCTTTTCATGCTAAGTTCGTGACGAAATTCTCTGAATCGAACTCTGTGAAATCCAATAAATCGACGAGTTCGTCGATGGTTTGATGCCTATCTTTGTTGATGAGATGCAAATTTTCTCAATGTTTTTGTCAGTTCGAACATTGGATGGACTCCCAGACCCAGGTTGATCTTCAAGAGATTTCTCCTTTTTGAAAGTGGGAAAATCACACATAAACCCTTGTCTTAGGATGCGACTATGCAGATGCGAGCAAGAAAGAATATGTGGCGAGAAGAGATTAGGATGTTTCTCGCTCTCATTTATTATGACCACACAGACAAGAGCATGAAACGTCACACCTTCTCACCACACATTCTCACTCACTCACATCTGCATAGTTGCAACCTTACTCATGGCATCTTGTTTGTAAGCACATTGAATCATTTCTTAACTTTCCAATCCACTTTTTCCTAACAGAAAACAAAATTTCACAGCAGCACATTGCTCTTTAAAATCTGACATCATGTTTTCGACAAAACAAAAAACAGCACTCTCAAAAAAATCACTACAGGCCAACAAATCTTGACATGCTGACGCCGCTTCGCATACTGATTCCAGAAGTTTCCGTCTAATGACATCTAGCGGCAAATATGCATAGTACAAACCTGACACCCTCCAAAATTATCCCCATTATTTTTGGGTCCCCCCTCGTACATAAATTCTATAGTTTGAAAAATATTAAAACATAAATCTTTCATCTATATATATATATAAAGATATGAGAAGCAGTCTTTTGCTCATTCAGAGGCACATGTAGTATTTGGCGAGAAAAGGCAAATTGTGATAGAAGTCAAACTCTGTTGGATATTTACGAGTGCCAGAAATTTGCTCTCGCCCACAAGATTTCTCGTTTCTCGCTCATTCGTGATTTTCCTTTGCAAGAAGTATATGTAATCTCTCACCCACTACTGGATTCATGTTTGCATAGTCGCAAGTAAAGGGTAAAGTCAAGAGCTCTCATATTTCCCAGTGTGTACCAGCAGATGCCATGCTGGTCGGCATCCGCTTATACTCAACTCCAGCATGCCGCACGTGGCTTCAAAAATATTGACTTTATTTGCATTTCTTGAAGTACAATTAAGTTTATATATCTTGCATGCTAATCCTTTTTTTTTTTTTTTATGATGTCAGACAAATCCACTTTATGCCAGTNAAAAAGTTTTGGCTTAAGACCATATAATGAAAAACAAAACATTATTAAAAGAGAAAGACCAATGCCTAATTTAAATATAAATACGTCAACAAAAGAATTTGTTCGACATTTTCACGATAAAATTTATGAAGATGTAAAATGGCTTTGTGGATGCATAAAAATAAAAAAATTGTTTTGTTGGCCTTGCCTACTATTTTCAAATGAAATTAGTGTGTGGAATAAGAATGGCTTTGACGATTTAAATAATTTGGGTAAAGTTGGCAAAAGACACGAAAATCGTAAATATCGCATCGATTCTTTCGTAAAATTGAAGCAATTTGGAAATCAAAATAGAATAGAATTTAACATTAGTACACAATATAAAATAAATATTGAAAATTATAACATGATAGTTACGGCTAATAGATTTATTATATTTAAATTAGTAGGTGTTATCGAAGCAAGAATCGGCATTTAGAGGGCATAGGGAATCTATTAAATCTAATATAAGAGAGTTAATTATATTGAACTTGCTTATTTATTAAGTGCGTTAGATAATCTATTAATTAAACATATATTTAGAGAAGTCTACGGTTTTTACTGGCTTATCGAACAAACGAATACGAATGGACCCTAGACAATCACTGACTGACTGCCCCTGGAAGTCGGCTTCTTACAGAAACACAGCTTCCCTATCATCAAACGTCACTGCACGCCACTGCTGGACTGGTTTTAGTTAGGCCGCTTCTTTCACGCCGGACGTTTCTTTTCGGAGGAGAAAACGATAGTGAGTACATTTATACAAAGTTTCGTTTAGTTGCATGCTATAATACGTATTACAATTCGATATAACTCTCCCACAAATACTTTAGTGTAAAATTACATAAAATAAGATGCTTTTTTAAATTTTCAGATAAGTACCCTTAAAATGCCTAATAATGAAAGAAAGTCGTACTTACTATAAAACAAAAACTAACGTTAATTGAAAAATTTGAAAAAGGTGAATCTACATCGAATCTATCAATACATGTTGTATTTTAGAAATAAATAATTATAGTTCGGATTATCCGTGCCATCTCTCCCACCATTAGCCCGGATAATCGAGAGTTTACTGTACTTGTACACACGTACAAAATTGAACACTTGTATGCGTTGAAAACGTGTATAAGGTGTTAATTCTGCGAATTACGGGAGGGCCTGATCTAAAACGGTGACTATCATAAATGGAAAATAATACCTCAATTCGCAAACTACTCGTGTTAAATTAGTGTCCGGATGGAATTTGAATCCGGATTTCGATCCTACTTGATATTCTATTGTAAACAGTCTTGAAGTTCGTTTAATTTTGACTAAATGTTACATTCAGTATGAAAATGTGCAAAGTTTATGAAGAACAGTTAACTTACTGATTGCAGTATCCTGCATCTTGCATGCAATATTCTCCCAATTTCTTGATATACATAGGTACTTCAAAGGATTTTGCATGAAAATATAATGCGTCGCAAATTTCGTTATGGAAACAGCAAACGTGACATGCAAATCTCTCTTCTTGGCATTCGCATTCCTAAGTATTTTTTAAAATTTTCATTTAATTTCTTAATTACCATAAGTAATTTTTAAAGAATTGTTTACCAGTAAATTATATCTCCAACATATGCTTCCATTGCAAATTCCATTATGACATAAACGCGAATTTCCAGCACATAAGGATCTATGGAGTGGCAAGTCGAAATGGGGACACTCCTCCGAGAGTCCATTGCAGAATTCTGGTAGAACGCATTCGTTATAATTGCTGGTGCACAGTTTGTTTTCTTTCTTACTAACATATAAACCGTTTTCGGTACAGCAGACGGATTCTCTGGCGCTGCATAATTTATTCTTGCTCCTGCGAATGGTGCATGGTCTGTCTTCTCCAGTATCGTCGGAAGGAGTGCAATTGGGATCGATGGCGTTACACGTGGCATTTGTACCACAATCGCATTCTTCGCCTTCTTCTGTAATTGTGTTTCCACATATAGGACCGGAATCCTGTTTCAAGCACCAATTTCCTAGAATCATTTAGTATTAATATTTACAAATTTAATTCTATTTACAGGATTTATATTGGTATAAATTGAAATTTAAATACCTCTCTTATGAATCAGGCCAGATATTGAATCTATACTAGAGTTTGAAAGAATTGTTCTACCTTCTGCAAAAGAATCCATGTATGGATTCATTAGATACCGATACGTTTTACGAGTTTTTGAGTAAGTTTTTGCATCTTGATCATCGTGGGGTGCACCAAATAAGTGGGCCACACCATGTAGAAAAGAGAAAGTTAATTCTGTTAACGAACGAGCATAATAACCGAATTTTCTGGTGGTAATCACGACATTTTTCGAACGGCCAATTACTCGAGAATTCATGCAAATTCCTTCATCTTCGTGTCCTCCAAAAGATGCTATCACGCTCTTCCTATCTCGAAAAGATTTAAACAATAGAAAATGCACCAAGCAGTAGTTGTTACTGTATGTCTCTGCTCTCTTCAATAAATCGTACATGTCAAAATGCCCCTCTCTGACATCCCTAAATGGATTCGATGCATCGTTTTCATTCTTAAATAGTGTTAATTTCTCTAATTTCAGGCCTATGTTATCTGCAACGCCATCTCGATTGAAATCTATCCTCGAAAAAAATACATCTGCAAATATTATTGTTTGCAGCATTTCTTTAATCACAACCTGCTCATTGTGATTATTATAATTGTACAGGGAATAATCCCCGATCAATTCTACACTGCATATTCTTCTATTGTTAGAGTTTATGGCATCGTGTATTGTTCGATTATGTTTCGATTTAAGATTATTCACAGCTTTCGAATTAGCGCAAATTGTACAAGTGTCATTACTACAAACGGGCGATGATGCGTCACTGCTCCTGTATACGATGGCATCAAAGTCTGTGGCATCCTGCAAGTAATTTGATGAAGGCTCTACCGAATATACCTCCTCTTCAGTAAAAATGATGCCCTGAAATATCTCAAGATTGAAGAAGCCAATTACCGAAGATTTAGGATTTCCCACAAGCCAGCCACTGTATAGTTCAATGCCCAACTTCGCCATTTTGACTATTGTGGTGTCGTTTTGAGTATGACGAATGTGCATTATTGCGTCTGGAGAAATTGTGGTAGTCGAAACCCGATGGGCGATAACGTGAAAATGTCTATTAAAAGCCGAAAATTGAAAATCCATCTTCCTGCGAGACTTGGCTGAAAAATAAGAACTCTTGTTAGCGACGTGTTTAATTAAGCGGAATGGTTCGTACCTCTTCAGATTCGGAACTTTGAAGTTCTTATCAACTTGAGAATTATCTGATGGCACGCAATTGAACGGATTTATAAAATTGTACAGCAAAACGTAAGTTAGATATGAATATTTAATTCGTATATTTTGATTTTTAAATTCCATTCTGATACTTAACATTCGAATTTTGAATTTGAAAAGAAAACGTTTTTATTGAACAATTGTATATTTTATATAAAATTTCATGTAATATAATTTTAAATAATTTGTTAGCATTATTTAAATTTTTCGTGCTCTATATTTAGGCACGGTTTTATAAAGTTTTATACAACTGGCAACAAAGCCAGTTCTGACTAGGCTACATTGTTGCCGGTTCTGATTAACATGGGTGGCAACGTTGTATAAGGATTTTGACGTGAATTATTGTTCGGGCATTTAAGACCTATCTATTATTTAGTTAATTTAATATATAATTTACTTATTTTTAAAATTAAATAACATTTATTTACACACAATAATAATATAGTTGAAAAGACATTTTAAAAATCGAATATAAGTCAAGCCGCCATTTTAGTTTCAAAGATCGTTATCAAATATTCTATGAATCATGCATTAATAGCAGTCGATTGACATGGATTATCATTTTCTGTCTCGATAAACGTTTCTTCGTCCCGATCTTCTCTTCCCATATTAATAGCTGCGATATACAAACAACAGGCCGATAAGCAAATTACGCAACCTATTGCAGCTATACCATAACTACTGTCCAAAATTATAATCATGGCGTGTTTCGAGGGTAGATACGTCTTTCCTTGAGTGGCGAAAATGATGAGAAAAGTGGAAATTAGTAACAAGACAAAACCCAATATTATCACAACTACGATGCATTTGGAAGAGATCTTCAAGCAGCAAAGAGTAGTCGCGCTGTCACCATTAATGCTGGAACGAATAACGGCTACAATATCGCGATGTCTCTTCATTTTGAATCTATATAATTAAAAATAAATCAGTTAATTAAATTTTTTGAAAGTTTTACAAAATAATGGAACATCGGTTATCAAAAAATATCTTTGATTTTAGTACACCCTATACGGATTTATTCGCGGAAAATGGCTTTAAGTTACTACAAAATTCATAACTGCTGTGGCAGATATTCAAATTAGATTTGTTGTGTTCGTGAATAAGCGTAAGAATTTTAATTAATATTTCATTTTAAGGTTATTTTTTACGTCATTAGTGAACTTTACCTCTTATTATCACTTATTAAATAAATCTTATCAGTTTCTCTGAATATAATATTAAAAAAAAAAGTAGAAAATTATGGTTGATTAGTTGAAAAATGGCGTCGTTTAATTACATTCTTGTAATTACATTTCGTAGTTTGTTTTTATTTCTGAATAATTAAATAATATGAATAAATGTGTACTTACCTTCAATTAATAAAATTATTTGTTTCGATGTAATTTTCTTTAAAATTTAGAGAATTTTTAGTTCTGTATGCCTGTTTGAAAGTTATCTTATCTAGCTTCGTATTATCGTGCGTTGCGCATTTTATTTTAAAGATTAGTTTTGATTTTTATTTTCAAAATAGTTTTCAATTTAATAGATTTTTTTTAATTAAAATTTTCTTCCATTAATTTAATTAATTACTCTGCTGTGTTTCGTTTTGGTGACTAAATTGCAGTAATTTTCCCCTATCTTTATATTGAAAGTATCTAGTTCCACAGGTATTTCGTTGCTGTGTAGTAGTCGTGTGCAACTTAATAAAATTGCTTTGCCAGGCCCCTGGGCCTGGCAAAGTAATTTTATTTTCCTGTTTTCTGCTTCGTGCCATTATGCAACTCCATTTAAGCTAGATTCTCCAGGAACGTTCAAACTGCACTTGATCAGTGAAAAGATGAGAAATAAATTACATATTAGTAATTTGCATGTTATTAGCATATATTATTTTAGTATCCGTATATTGACGGCCGGATGGTCAAGGTGCCAGCCTACCGCTCTGGAGGACCCGGGACCGAATCCGGACGGGTCGATAAATCCCAGGAATTTTTCGGAGGATGGTCCGTCTGGATATGTCGGGCCCCGTCCCTCACCACTCGGTCGTCCCATTGTGGACCTGGCCGAACCCATAATGGGCTTAATTAAAGAGGCCCTCTTAGTGCCCACAGGGCGGAAAGAGTTTAAAAAAAGTATCCGCGTACTGGTGGTTATATAGTATGTTGGTAGTCGTCAGGCGTAATGTGTGCCGTTTCAGCGGTAATAGTCGGGTTTTGGGCTATGTGTAATTTTTTTTATAGAGTTTGTAGCACTTTGGTAGAGGGAAATGGGTAAAAAAAGAATTGCGGATTGGCTGCAGGGTTTTTTTCGGCGGATGAGAGGTCACCCAGGTGAAGGAAAAGGGTCCTTGGTTTGTCTTGTGTTTTTTGTGTGTTAAGGTGTTCGTAGTGACTGCATGGAGCAATGCAAGCAAAATCTACACGGACTTGTATTACCATCTGGAAATGAAAGAATCTGTTTCCATCGGCTGGAATATTTACCAGGTGATGAAAATGTTTTGTTGGTAAAAAGTAATTGTCAGTAATGAACATTGCCCGACATTTAGTTTTCTTTTTGTGAGACCGACGTGTCAGGGTTTTACCTAAAGGACCTGTACTATAGCAAACTCGTTGTACGGACGAACCTGGAGAGTTCGTGGGTGTCTGTATGTGCGACCTGGCGAACAAATTTGTAAATTTTTGTATATATTTATTTTACTTGTACATAAACTTATTGTCAAGTTATTTTCATTTGTCCCCTTCTCACGTGGGTAATTCATTCCCTTTCACAATAATTTTAGTATCGATTATTGTGATTTTTCACAAATGCCTGCAACGCCACAAAAAAAAGTACGAGCCCGCCTAAGGCTGTGTACACATTAGGCGTTTTTAAACGCGCGTTTTAAAGAACCAAGAGTTCTGCATAAGTATACACACTCAAACGCGCGCTTCTGGCCAAGCGCGCATTAAACGCGCGTTGATAGATTTTTCTTAGAACGCGCGTTTCGCGGGCGTCAGCCGCGCGTTTTGAGATATATGTGCTGCCATGTTATTGTACATTCGATCGCGCGTTTTCGGGTAAAGTGGACGCACTCTATTCTATTCTATTCTCCACCCTTGGTTCATATGGAGATTACTGCATAGTGGGCGCACGTTGGCCGAAATGGAGAACGATCATTTCGATACTGATGTTGATACCGTTTTACGGCCGTAAAACGGTACCATCCACCAATCAGAAGTCAGTGAAATCTAGGTCATTGTGACACGGTGCGAAAATGGCGGAAAACGAGCTTTTGTGTATGTTCTCTCGCAGCTACTCTAGAATAGATCTGGAAAGATTTATCGAAAATATCCGAAAGTATTCGTGTATCTACGACAAGAAGTATCCCGATTATAATAATAGATGACTAAAACACGCGATATGGACGGCCAAAGGAAAATCCGTTAATTTACAGGAGTATATAATAAAAAAAGCTAAGCTTATAAGTGCTGTATATTATCTTAATAATACGATAATAAAAGTTAATATATGAAAGTAAAGATATTATTTTTACTACATTTGTAATTACTGTATAGTACAGAAAAAACTCGTAGAATATAATCATTGTCTTTATATCGATATATCGCGTATATAACCGTCGATAGTACCGTCGCCGTAAAAACTTTGCTAGTCGGACCTCCATTGTAATCCAGACACAAACGCAAATAGGTCACGTGATTAAAAGTTTTTACGGGGAAGGTTTTTAGCCTGTTTTTACGCTAGTGGAGTCTTGGCCTTATCCTGAAACAACTTGCATAAACATTCGAAACTGACGACAAGAATAATGTTCTATGATAAGAAATGATTACGAAAATATTGGACATAACCACGATCTCCGATCAGACTGAGTAGGTTTGGCCGATCTATACTTGAAGGCCGGTTCACACCATGGATATTTCGACATGGAGTTAGGTGGTGACGCCATTCCGAAGAAAATAAATCGTGTTCTCCATTGAGAAAATTTCGATCCTAACGTAGTGTGGAATTACCGGTATAGCGCCACGCTCTGACTAGTACATGAATGCCACTTTAAAATTATCGTCGTCGCAATTCGATTCAAAACAAATTGAACAAGCCATTGAATTTTAGCCCAGCGAGCAGTTTCTTAGTGCGATATATTTTTTCGTAATTATGTACAGTACGTTAGCATCTGTTTGCAGGTTTGAAGACACTTTTGATCCGTCTTGCCGTCGTCTCTGAAGATTGCTTTAGTTTTTAATTGCGCTTGCATCTCTCTTGCAAAAAATATCTACCGAACACAGATTATTGTACGAGATTGTATCCTGATATTAATAATGACATACTTTTGAACTTTGAGAGTACAACAACAACAAAATTACGCGGATGAAGCTCAAGGTCCTAGAATATTTTAGTACCTTGGGTGAAACTGGCTCGTTTCGTTTCGTCATATATTTTGCCCGTGTCACAATGCATTAATATCAACGAAATAACCTTAATCCGTCACGTGGAAAATTTTTAATTTTTTAACAGTTGCTAATCGTTTTCACGTTCTTAGATCTTGTACTCTAGTTTTCACTACGTGCGAACGGCGCCATCTGGTGTCGATACCCGGTAACCTTGGACGGTAAGGAAGGAGGCGTATTGTCCCTAAATTCATCACGTTAGTAGTACAATTTAACATTTCGATCCAGTCCGTCTAGAAAATGCAGTTTATTCCTACGGGTAAGAAGAATTGCGTTCGCGCCTTGGTTTATTATTTAGAGTTTATTAATTAACGTGTCTGGTGCTTACAGAACATCAACACGTTAGATTCAACCCGCTGTTAGAAGAATGGATTTTGGTCTCTCCGCATCGCACCAAACGGCCTTGGCAGGGTCGAGTGGAAAAACCTCCGGAAAAACATGTTCCTCCTTTCGATGCCAAAAATCCTCTTTGTCCTCGTGCCGTCAGGGCTAATGGAGAGGTGAGTGTAAGGCTGAGACGTCACAGTGAAGAGTGAATTACTGCATTGTATGGAAGTGAAAATCGAAATGGTTCGACTACCACGCTTAGTAGTAGCAAAGAAAAACTTTTGTTATTAGGATTACTTCGTAATGAATACACAAAAAGAAAACCAAGAATGTGATGTTGCTCTGGAAACAGCAAAGGATAAAGGACTTCATTATTCTTTGCTAAGAAAATAGATATACCTGGGAGACCCAAAAATAATGGGGAAAAAATCGTGTATTTAACAATTTCATATTTTAATCTCCTTCAAAATACTCTCTATTACCCATAATACACTTGTCCAAAATACCTATAAAATTTCTGTTCCTAAATCCCTCCTAGCATCTCCATTATTTTTGTTTTCCCCTCTTCTACTGTCTGAAATCACTCCCCTTTGAGCTCCCTATTTGTCCTGGGGAACAAAAAAAAAATCGCAAGGTGCGAGATCGGGCGAATGGGGGAGAAGGGTCATGCCATTTCTTGTCAAAAACTGCTACATGGAGAGTGCCATGTGAGCAAAGGCATGGTCATGATGGAAGTCTTTTGAGGACTTTCAAATAACAATGTTGATTGACAATCTGGCTTGGATGGATGAATTTGGAATTAACTATTTCTTTCCTAAAAAAACAGATTAACATGATTTTCACATTTGATTTCACTTGTCTTGTTTTGGGACTGGGAGATCCTGGTGTTTTCCACTGGCTGGATTGATGTTTGGTTTCCGGATTGTAACCGTAACACCACGTTTCATTGCCAGTTATCACCTTTGAAAGAACATTTGGAAAATGATCCGGACTTGTTTTCTAAGCCTGACAAGTTGTCAAGCGATTGCCTTTCTGATTGATAGTCAACAAGTGTGGAATAAACTTTGCAGAAACTCTTTTCATGCTAAGTTCGTGACGAAATTCTCTGAATCGAACTCTGTGAAATCCAATAAATCGACGAGTTCGTCGATGGTTTGATGCCTATCTTTGTTGATGAGATGCAAATTTTCTCAATGTTTTTGTCAGTTCGAACATTGGATGGACTCCCAGACCCAGGTTGATCTTCAAGAGATTTCTCCTTTTTGAAAGTGGGAAAATCACACATAAACCCTTGTCTTAGGATGCGACTATGCAGATGCGAGCAAGAAAGAATATGTGGCGAGAAGAGATTAGGATGTTTCTCGCTCTCATTTATTATGACCACACAGACAAGAGCATGAAACGTCACACCTTCTCACCACACATTCTCACTCACTCACATCTGCATAGTTGCAACCTTACTCATGGCATCTTGTTTGTAAGCACATTGAATCATTTCTTAACTTTCCAATCCACTTTTTCCTAACAGAAAACAAAATTTCACAGCAGCACATTGCTCTTTAAAATCTGACATCATGTTTTCGACAAAACAAAAAACAGCACTCTCAAAAAAATCACTACAGGCCAACAAATCTTGACATGCTGACGCCGCTTCGCATACTGATTCCAGAAGTTTCCGTCTAATGACATCTAGCGGCAAATATGCATAGTACAAACCTGACACCCTCCAAAATTATCCCCATTATTTTTGGGTCCCCCCTCGTACATAAATTCTATAGTTTGAAAAATATTAAAACATAAATCTTTCATCTATATATATATATAAAGATATGAGAAGCAGTCTTTTGCTCATTCAGAGGCACATGTAGTATTTGGCGAGAAAAGGCAAATTGTGATAGAAGTCAAACTCTGTTGGATATTTACGAGTGCCAGAAATTTGCTCTCGCCCACAAGATTTCTCGTTTCTCGCTCATTCGTGATTTTCCTTTGCAAGAAGTATATGTAATCTCTCACCCACTACTGGATTCATGTTTGCATAGTCGCAAGTAAAGGGTAAAGTCAAGAGCTCTCATATTTCCCAGTGTGTACCAGCAGATGCCATGTTGGTCGGCATCCGCTTATACTCAACTCCAGCATGCCGCACGTGGCTTCAAAAATATTGACTTTATTTGCATTTCTTGAAGTACAATTAAGTTTATATATCTTGCATGCTAATCCTTTTTTTTTTTTTTTTTTATGATGTCAGACAAATCCGGATTATGCCAGTACATTTCTCTTCGACAACGATTATCCTGCACTGGTGGAAGATGTTCCAGATCCCCGTTAGTGAATTACTACAAATTGGGAGTAATAAAAAACTAATGGACTCTTAAACAGATCTGGCGTTGTTTCAGAAGGGAGCAGACATCCACTGTTTCGGACAGGATCAGCCAAAGGAACGTGCAAGGTGATGTGCTTTCATCCCCGTTCCGACATGACTCTGCCACTGATGACCGTGGAAGAGATATTAGAAGTAATTGATGCCTGGGTACAACAGAGCATGGAACTGGGGAGACAGTACAGATGGGTGCAGGCAAGTAGATGGCATCTTTGCAGTATGTCCATCTGACATACCTTATGAGAACTAATTTATATTGATTTTAGATATTTGAAAATAAAGGAGAAATACAAGGCTGTTCCAATCCTCATCCACACTGTCAGGTACTGTATTTATTTATTTTTGTGTGTGTGTGTTTGTTTGTACACAAAACAGTTACTCAGGAATCAGTTGGAGTTCCTATAAAAATATGTATGCAATATATTAATATGTAGAAATTTAAAATAGTGATTTGCAAGTCTGAATACTCTTGGTATTTTCTGAAGGTTGTAGTTTATTAAAGTCCTTTGAAACAGTTTAGAGACAAGTTTGATGCAAATTTAAATAAAATCTCTCAGGAATAAGGGTCAAGTTAAGAATATAAGTAAAATGACTTAAAACCTTGTAATGGAGTATCAATAAAGTTAAGTCTTCAAACAATAGCAGTTGCATAAATATGAGCATTTACAAGTAATGCGGAAGAAAATAAGTTAAAAGTTATGTTTCTGCTGCATAAAAGCCAGTTTTCAACTTGTATGCACAATGCTGGCTGTAAGGAAAAATGCAAAATTTTTGCTTGCATCAAGCATTGCATCTGAGGTATCCTTCATCAATCGACTTGAAAAAATCTTCAGTTGATAAAATTGCAACTGGAGTGGAGACTTCTCTTGGAGGGTAGGACAAAATGAAATCTAGCAATGAATATGCATTTTATTAAAATTTTGAATCATCTATTACATTAATTTCTTTCTAATTGATTCTTTAATGAACGACATTTAAAAAATTCTGTTTGTTGTCACTTATTAATTAATAAACTCCAAATACCTTTAAAATGCGTGTTGTCGTTTATGTAAAGCCATTATCTTCATTGGTATCATTGTTGATATCAGTCATTATCACCAAATCAAATGTTATAATTCAATAGAAAATGAAGATGCATTAGTGGAGTTGGAAAAAACACCCTTGTAGGGTGTTTTTTTTTCCAACTTCCATTAATGCATGAAAAAAAAATTGGAAGCATGTGAGCAGGGACAGGGTGCACACCTAGTAAGTAGTATATTCCCTCACCACTTCGTAATTAGCTTGGCACAATGCTATTTTAATTAATATACTAATTACTAAGCAAACTATTTTAGACATTTGCTACTCTGCAGTAAACATGTAAACATGATGCCGCCAATCCAGTCTCCAGCCAACTGTGAAGTACGAGCAGTAATTCGATTTCTACCGAAGGGAAGTGAAATTTGTCGAAGGATGTGTAATGTGTATCTTTACTCATGAGCTACAGATACACATTACACATCCTTCGACTGAATGGTGCAGGAAATTTAAACAAGGACATGACAATGTTCATGATGAGGGCAGTCAAGGGAGAAAGTGTGGGATGACTGACGATTTGGTGGAGAAAGTGGATCAACTGACATCGATTGGTTCATGATTTCTGAGCTCAGTGAGGAGTTTCCTCAAATTTTAAGGTCCACACTGTATACCACTGACTAACTGTATTAAAGGTTGGCTGAATGGCTTGGCAGCAATGTTCTTCAACATGAGTATACAAAAGCTGGCAGGTGTTACAGTATGATATCTGCTTGAATCGACAAAGCAATTNTAGTAATTTGCATGTTATTAGCATATATTATTTTAGTATCCGTATATTGACGGCCGGATGGTCAAGGTGCCAGCCTACCGCTCTGGAGGACCCGGGACCGAATCCGGACGGGTCGATAAATCCCAGGAATTTTTCGGAGGATGGTCCGTCTGGATATGTCGGGCCCCGTCCCTCACCACTCGGTCGTCCCATTGTGGACCTGGCAGAACCCATAATGGGCTTAAAAAAACAGGCCCTCTTAGTGCCCACAGGGCGGAAAGAGTTTAAAAAAAGTATCCGCGTACTGGTGGTTATATAGTATGTTGGTAGTCGTCAGGCGTAATGTGTGCCGTTTCAGCGGTAATAGTCGGGTTTTGGGCTATATGTAATTTTTTTTATAAAGAGTTTGTAGCACTTTGGTAGAGGGAAATGGGTAAAAAAAGAATTGCGGATTGGCTGCAGGGTTTTTTTCGGCGGATGAGAGGTCACCCAGGTGAAGGAAAAGGGTCCTTGGTTTGTCTTGTGTTTTTTGTGTGTTAAGGTGTTCGTAGTGACTGCATGGAGCAATGCAAGCGAAATCTACACGGACTTGTATTACCATCTGGAAATGAAAGAATCTGTTTCCATCGGCTGGAATATTTACCAGGTGATGAAAATGTTTTGTTGGTAAAAAGTAATTGTCAGTAATGAACATTGCCCGACATTTAGTTTTCTTTTCGTGAGACCGACGTGTCAGGGTTTTACCTAAAGGACCTGTACTATAGCAAACTCGTTGTACGGACGAACCTGGAGAGTTCGTGGGTGTCTGTATGTGCGACCTGGCGAACAAATTTGTAAATTTTTGTATATATTTATTTTACTTGTACATAAACTTATTGTCAAGTTATTTTCATTTGTCCCCTTCTCACGTGGGTAATTCATTCCCTTTCACAATAATTTTAGTATCGATTATTGTGATTTTTCACAAATGCCTGCAACGCCACAAAAAAAAGTACGAGCCCGCCTAAGGCTGTATACACATTAGGCGTTTTTAAACGCGCGTTTTAAAGAACCAAGAGTTCTGCATAAGTATACACACTCAAACGCGCGCTTCTGGCCAAGCGCGCATTAAACGCGCGTTGATAGATTTTTCTTAGAACGCGCGTTTCGCGGGCGTCAGCCGCGCGTTTTGAGATATATGTGCTGCCATGTTATTGTACATTCGATCGCGCGTTTTCGGGTAAAGTGGACGCACTCTATTCTATTCTATTCTCCACCCTTGGTTCATATGGAGATTACTGCATAGTGGGCGCACGTTGGCCGAAATGGAGAACGATCATTTCGATACTGATGTTGATACCGTTTTACGGCCGTAAAACGGTACCATCCACCAATCAGAAGTCAGTGAAATCTAGGTCATTGTGACACGGTGCGAAAATGGCGGAAAACGAGCTTTTGTGTATGTTCTCTCGCAGCTACTCTAGAATAGATCTGGAAAGATTTATCGAAAATATCCGAAAGTATTCGTGTATCTACGACAAGAAGTATCCCGATTATAATAATAGATGACTAAAACACGCGATATGGACGGCCAAAGGAAAATCCGTTAATTTACAGGAGTATATAATAAAAAAAGCTAAGCTTATAAGTGCTGTATATTATCTTAATAATACGATAATAAAAGTTAATATATGAAAGTAAAGATATTATTTTTACTACATTTGTAATTACTGTATAGTACAGAAAAAACTCGTAGAATATAATCATTGTCTTTATATCGATATATCGCGTATATAACCGTCGATAGTACCGTCGCCGTAAAAACTTTGCTAGTCGGACCTCCATTGTAATCCAGACACAAACGCAAATAGGTCACGTGATTAAAAGTTTTTACGGGGAAGGTTTTTAGCCTGTTTTTACGCTAGTGGAGTCTTGGCCTTATCCTGAAACAACTTGCATAAACATTCGAAACTGACGACAAGAATAATGTTCTATGATAAGAAATGATTACGAAAATATTGGACATAACCACGATCTCCGATCAGACTGAGTAGGTTTGGCCGATCTATACTTGAAGGCCGGTTCACACCATGGATATTTCGACATGGAGTTAGGTGGTGACGCCATTCCGAAGAAAATAAATCGTGTTCTCCATTGAGAAAATTTCGATCCTAACGTAGTGTGGAATTACCGGTATAGCGCCACGCTCTGACTAGTACATGAATGCCACTTTAAAATTATCGTCGTCGCAATTCGATTCAAAACAAATTGAACAAGCCATTGAATTTTAGCCCAGCGAGCAGTTTCTTAGTGCGATATATTTTTTCGTAATTATGTACAGTACGTTAGCATCTGTTTGCAGGTTTGAAGACACTTTTGATCCGTCTTGCCGTCGTCTCTGAAGATTGCTTTAGTTTTTAATTGCGCTTGCATCTCTCTTGCAAAAAATATCTACCGAACACAGATTATTGTACGAGATTGTATCCTGATATTAATAATGACATACTTTTGAACTTTGAGAGTACAACAACAACAAAATTACGCGGATGAAGCTCAAGGTCCTAGAATATTTTAGTACCTTGGGTGAAACTGGCTCGTTTCGTTTCGTCATATATTTTGCCCGTGTCACAATGCATTAATATCAACGAAATAACCTTAATCCGTCACGTGGAAAATTTTTAATTTTTTAACAGTTGCTAATCGTTTTCACGTTCTTAGATCTTGTACTCTAGTTTTCACTACGTGCGAACGGCGCCATCTGGTGTCGATACCCGGTAACCTTGGACGGTAAGGAAGGAGGCGTATTGTCCCTAAATTCATCACGTTAGTAGTACAATTTAACATTTCGATCCAGTCCGTCTAGAAAATGCAGTTTATTCCTACGGGTAAGAAGAATTGCGTTCGCGCCTTGGTTTATTATTTAGAGTTTATTAATTAACGTGTCTGGTGCTTACAGAACATCAACACGTTAGATTCAACCCGCTGTTAGAAGAATGGATTTTGGTCTCTCCGCATCGCACCAAACGGCCTTGGCAGGGTCGAGTGGAAAAACCTCCGGAAAAACATGTTCCTCCTTTCGATGCCAAAAATCCTCTTTGTCCTCGTGCCGTCAGGGCTAATGGAGAGGTGAGTGTAAGGCTGAGACGTCACAGTGAAGAGTGAATTACTGCATTGTATGGAAGTGAAAATCGAAATGGTTCGACTACCACGCTTAGTAGTAGCAAAGAAAAACTTTTGTTATTAGGATTACTTCGTAATGAATACACAAAAAGAAAACCAAGAATGTGATGTTGCTCTGGAAACAGCAAAGGATAAAGGACTTCATTATTCTTTGCTAAGAAAATAGATATACCTGGGAGACCCAAAAATAATGGGGAAAAAATCGTGTATTTAACAATTTCATATTTTAATCTCCTTCAAAATACTCTCTATTACCCATAATACACTTGTCCAAAATACCTATAAAATTTCTGTTCCTAAATCCCTCCTAGCACCTCCATTATTTTTGTTTTCCCCTCTTCTACTGTCTGAAATCACTCCCCTTTGAGCTCCCTATTTGTCCTGGGGAACAAAAAAAAAATCGCAAGGTGCGAGATCGGGCGAATGGGGGAGAAGGGTCATGCCATTTCTTGTCAAAAACTGCTACATGGAGAGTGCCATGTGAGCAAAGGCATGGTCATGATGGAAGTCTTTTGAGGACTTTCAAATAACAATGTTGATTGACAATCTGGCTTGGATGGATGAATTTGGAATTAACTATTTCTTTCCTAAAAAAACAGATTAACATGATTTTCACATTTGATTTCACTTGTCTTGTTTTGGGACTGGGAGATCCTGGTGTTTTCCACTGGCTGGATTGATGTTTGGTTTCCGGATTGTAACCGTAACACCACGTTTCATTGCCAGTTATCACCTTTGAAAGAACATTTGGAAAATGATCCGGACTTGTTTTCTAAGCCTGACAAGTTGTCAAGCGATTGCCTTTCTGATTGATAGTCAACAAGTGTGGAATAAACTTTGCAGAAACTCTTTTCATGCTAAGTTCGTGACGAAATTCTCTGAATCGAACTCTGTGAAATCCAATAAATCGACGAGTTCGTCGATGGTTTGATGCCTATCTTTGTTGATGAGATGCAAATTTTCTCAATGTTTTTGTCAGTTCGAACATTGGATGGACTCCCAGACCCAGGTTGATCTTCAAGAGATTTCTCCTTTTTGAAAGTGGGAAAATCACACATAAACCCTTGTCTTAGGATGCGACTATGCAGATGCGAGCAAGAAAGAATATGTGGCGAGAAGAGATTAGGATGTTTCTCGCTCTCATTTATTATGACCACACAGACAAGAGCATGAAACGTCACACCTTCTCACCACACATTCTCACTCACTCACATCTGCATAGTTGCAACCTTACTCATGGCATCTTGTTTGTAAGCACATTGAATCATTTCTTAACTTTCCAATCCACTTTTTCCTAACAGAAAACAAAATTTCACAGCAGCACATTGCTCTTTAAAATCTGACATCATGTTTTCGACAAAACAAAAAACAGCACTCTCAAAAAAATCACTACAGGCCAACAAATCTTGACATGCTGACGCCGCTTCGCATACTGATTCCAGAAGTTTCCGTCTAATGACATCTAGCGGCAAATATGCATAGTACGAACCTGACACCCTCCAAAATTATCCCCATTATTTTTGGGTCCCCCCTCGTACATAAATTCTATAGTTTGAAAAATATTAAAACATAAATCTTTCATCTATATATATATATAAAGATATGAGAAGCAGTCTTTTGCTCATTCAGAGGCACATGTAGTATTTGGCGAGAAAAGGCAAATTGTGATAGAAGTCAAACTCTGTTGGATATTTACGAGTGCCAGAAATTTGCTCTCGCCCACAAGATTTCTCGTTTCTCGCTCATTCGTGATTTTCCTTTGCAAGAAGTATATGTAATCTCTCACCCACTACTGGATTCATGTTTGCATAGTCGCAAGTAAAGGGTAAAGTCAAGAGCTCTCATATTTCCCAGTGTGTACCAGCAGATGCCATGTTGGTCGGCATCCGCTTATACTCAACTCCAGCATGCCGCACGTGGCTTCAAAAATATTGACTTTATTTGCATTTCTTGAAGTACAATTAAGTTTATATATCTTGCATGCTAATCCTTTTTTTTTTTTTTTTTTATGATGTCAGACAAATCCGGATTATGCCAGTACATTTCTCTTCGACAACGATTATCCTGCACTGGTGGAAGATGTTCCAGATCCCCGTTAGTGAATTACTACAAATTGGGAGTAATAAAAAACTAATGGACTCTTAAACAGATCTGGCGTTGTTTCAGAAGGGAGCAGACATCCACTGTTTCGGACAGGATCAGCCAAAGGAACGTGCAAGGTGATGTGCTTTCATCCCCGTTCCGACACGACTCTGCCACTGATGACCGTGGAAGAGATATTAGAAGTAATTGATGCCTGGGTACAACAGAGCATGGAACTGGGGAGACAGTACAGATGGGTGCAGGCAAGTAGATGGCATCTTTGCAGTATGTCCATCTGACATACCTTATGAGAACTAATTTATATTGATTTTAGATATTTGAAAATAAAGGAGAAATACAAGGCTGTTCCAATCCTCATCCACACTGTCAGGTACTGTATTTATTTATTTTTGTGTGTGTGTGTTTGTTTGTACACAAAACAGTTACTCAGGAATCAGTTGGAGTTCCTATAAAAATATGTATGCAATATATTAATATGTAGAAATTTAAAATAGTGATTTGCAAGTCTGAATACTCTTGGTATTTTCTGAAGGTTGTAGTTTATTAAAGTCCTTTGAAACAGTTTAGAGACAAGTTTGATGCAAATTTAAATAAAATCTCTCAGGAATAAGGGTCAAGTTAAGAATATAAGTAAAATGACTTAACTTTATTGATACTCCATTACAAGGTTTTAAGTCTTCAAACAATAGCAGTTGCATAAATATGAGCATTTACAAGTAATGCGGAAGAAAATAAGTTAAAAGTTATGTTTCTGCTGCATAAAAGCCAGTTTTCAACTTGTATGCACAATGCTGGCTGTAAGGAAAAATGCAATATTTTTGCTTGCATCAAGCATTGCATCTGAGGTATCCTTCATCAATCGACTTGAAAAAATCTTCAGTTGATAAAATTGCAACTGGAGTGGAGACTTCTCTTGGAGGGTAGGACAAAATGAAATCTAGCAATGAATATTCATTTTATTAAAATTTTGAATCATCTATTACATTAATTTCTTTCTAATTGATTCTTTAATGAACGACATTTAAAATTCTGTTTGTTGTCACTTATTAATTAATAAACTCCAAATACCTTTAAAATGCGTGTTGTCGTTTATGTAAAGCCATTATCTTCATTGGTATCATTGTTGATATCAGTCATTATCACCAAATCAAATGTTATAATTCAATAGAAAATGAAGATGCATTAGTGGAGTTGGAAAAAACACCCTTGTAGGGTGTTTTTTTTTCCAACTTCCATTAATGCATGAAAAAAAATTGGAAGCATGTGAGCAGGGACAGGGTGCACACCTAGTAAGTAGTATATTCCCTCACCACTTCGTAATTAGCTTGGCACAATGCTATTTTAATTAATATACTAATTACTAAGCAAACTATTTTAGACATTTGCTACTCTGCAGTAAACATGTAAACATGATGCCGCCAATCCAGTCTCCAGCCAACTGTGAAGTACGAGCAGTAATTCGATTTCTACCGAAGGGAAGTGAAATTTGTCGAAGGATGTGTAATGTGTATCTTTACTCACGAGCTACAGATACACATTACACATCCTTCGACTGAATGGTGCAGGAAATTTAAACAAGGACATGACAATGTTCATGATGAGGGCAGTCAAGGGAGAAAGTGTGGGATGACTGACGATTTGGTGGAGAAAGTGGATCAACTGACATCGATTGGTTCATGATTTCTGAGCTCAGTGAGGAGTTTCCTCAAATTTTAAGGTCCACACTGTATACCACTGACTAACTGTATTAAAGGTTGGCTGAATGGCTTGGCAGCAATGTTCTTCAACATGAGTATACAAAAGCTGGCAGGTGTTACAGTATGATATCTGCTTGAATCGACAAAGCAATTACGTGGAAAATAAGTACCTTCTACAAATAAAGTGGTTTTGTTCTTCATTTTTTTTATTTTTTATTCTGGGTCAGTGGAGGTTGAAAAAAATAAAATGAAATAACCCTTGAAATTTTGTAGTATTAATAAGAGCACTTCCCATTTAACTAGATATATAAGAATTTGTTGCAAAAATGTATTAGTTTATTTGGTTATATGAGCTGTTGATTTTGAAAGTGGGACAAGTCCACTCTAAAGAAAAATATAAAAATATGATGGATTTATTACCCTATGTACTACCATTCATTATGAATATTTTAAAATTTGCATCATCTGAACTAAGAAATATAATTATATGCATGCAACTTATTATTGAATATTTTTTCTTATTTTATCCACTTTTTCGTATAAAATTAAATTTTTTTTTGTTTTTTTCAAAAGAAGTACGAAATGTCAAAATAAAATAAATAAGTAAAATAATAACAAAAAATTGAATATTTTATTTAAACTACATTTCATATTTCATTCAAAGAAAATCAACATTTTCAACAAATCATTGCTTTTGAAAGTGAGGCAAGTCCATTGGCGCATACCAAAATTGTGATTTTTTTCCATTAACACAGATAACCATTATTGCCTATTAAATTTACATAAAATAGGTCTATTGCTGCTTATGAATATTTTTAAACCCATTCAAATGCAAACCATTAAATATCTAGCGACAACATGAAATGCTTTTAACACAATTTCTTACAAGTTAACAAAATTTTTCTTACAAAGAATTATTTCTTACAAGTTACAAGTAACACTTATATACAAAAGATTTTATGCAGTGGATTTTTCTGTTACTGATTGTAAGAAATTTTGGATGCATAAAGTTACTTGTAAGTAGTAGCTTGACAAAACATTTGACATATTTTGCTTGTAATGACAAGGTTTTATGCAATGCGAGAAGGCCATTGAGTGAAGTTCCAAAATATCTTTGGTTAGCTTACAGGGTATTGTGGCATATCTGCGGAGCCATTTTAACACCACGGTAAGCTGAGCAAGTTTCTAGTCTTGGTGATTTTTTTTTTAAACTAAAAGTGGGATATTGCAAGAAAAAGGCTCTTTCTGTCAGAAACCAATAGAAAGAAATGCTTAGATATCATAAAAAATATGTAAATAAGTATCTGAGAAAATGATAAATTTTATGTTTGTGGTTCCAAAAGAAGAAAATTAGTGCAGAGGAGATCACAGACAGAAAATCTCCCTAAAAATATATGAGCAGCAGTGGAGAGGGGGGATTACAGTTGGGATTATACAGTGTCATCCAGTTGCATTAATTTGATATTTATTAAACAAACTTTGGTGAAGTTTGTTTTTAGATATCCCAAAAACAAATTTAAGACTTATAGTAATCACGACTCTTAACAGATTATTTCAATACTATAATGATCCTAAACACTTGTCATATATCATATTCAGCAGATTCTCTGTAAGTTTACACTTTTTCTCCAGACTCCCTGATAAGTTCTTGATAGAGATCAATTGATGTCAGGAAATGATTGAAAAATTAGATGGCACCGTTCACACACACACACAATTTCCAACATGATAATTTAGGAGTTCTAGGAGAGTGGGAGAATTTCAAATTTGATGGAGATGCTTATAAATTCAATGCCTTGACAATTACAAGCACAACATAATACTTTAGACTACAACAAACCTTTCATTCTATACAATTATCTTAAATGTATCAGATTTTTTAAATGCATTTTTTTATGTATTTGTAATTTTATACTTAAATATGATAACAAAAATTAATTTGATAGTAAAATTACACACCAAAAACAATTGAATACACAAAATTTGTAATTCCAAACTTTTGCATATCACTGTATAAAAACAAATCTTATATTTTGAAATGCATAAAAACATCTTAAAAGCTACTACTGAAATTCATGTTCAAATTTTAGCTAATTAGTTTGTTTAGTACATTATTAGCAATATCAAGTTGGTGGCATAAAAACAAATACTTAATAATGAAAATCTTTTATTTTCAAAAATTAAATTTCTCTAAAATTTTTTTTATTACAATACAATATCCAATTTAATAGTTAAGTTTGTTTTATGATTACTAAGTTTGTCCTAAAAATAATTTAAGTTGTACGTCTGAATTTTGCTTTATAAATACCAAAAGCAATGCTAATTAATCCCAGCATCGTATTTGACATAAATTCACAAGTAAAATGTGCTTTCTAGCAAACAAGAACTATGATTTTAACTTCATAGTCCTTGACAACAGTTCTTTCTTGGAAGTGTTTGCTAAATGACAATTGGCATCCATCGGTTGAGTAATTGTAATGAATTTTGTCTGCATCTGTTCTTGCAATAGTTTGACAAATTTATAGAACCTATTCTGTATTTCTTGCCTTCCAGCATCTACCTTTGTGGAATCTGTTCGAGTTTAATCTGCATTCATAAGAGTTGTGAACATTTTATAACAAATCAAATTCGGAATGGAGTGTTAAATTTTTTCAAGACATGGGATGTAAGTGAAATGCTGGGATGAAGCAAAAAACAGTATGTTAAGTAAAAATAAATAGGCTGGCTGTACAAAGAACACCACAACACTCCCAAAACAAGTAAAGAACTATAAAAGTTATTTGCTTGTTTTGGGGGTGTTATGTTCTATGTATCTATCTAATACAGTAAAATCAATCACACTAGTTATAACCAGTTTTTGAAATGGTATCGTATTTGCTATATAGATTTGGGCAAGTTCATTTCTGCCAAACATTCCATCAAAAGAAGAAACTGCACAAAAAAATTATTATGAAAAGCATGGTACTGCAATGCTTCTTGAATACCTTAAAGAAGAATTAAAGCGTAAAGTGAGTAATGCTTTTAAATCTTCAGAGTTTTATTCAATTTTAATGATATTTGGTGTAATTTTACAGGAAAGAATTGTTCTGGAAAACGAGCACTGGGTAGTTTTAGTGCCATATTGGGCGACGTGGCCGTACGAAACTTTACTTCTACCAAAGAGACGTGTGTCGAGATTGGTTGATCTGAACGATGGTGAAAAACATTGTAAGTTATCACACTATTTACGTGAATGCCTAAAAATAAAATTTATAATTTGACTTTTGTCTGTCAGCTCTAGCATACATTATGAAACAACACCTAACCAAATACGATAACCTATTTGAGACGTCGTTTCCTTACTCCATGGGATGGCACGGTAAGTTCTTTGGTTTTCTGAGAATTTTTTAATATTTGTCACATTACATTCATGTTTCTTAGGAGCTCCCACTGGCGATTTTAACAGTGATGCCAGCCACTGGCAACTTCATGCTCACTATTTTCCTCCTCTCCTCCGTTCAGCCACCATAAAGAAATTCATGGTCGGTTACGAGATGCTAGCCCAACCTCAACGAGATTTGACTGCCGAACAAGTATGTACTTTAATTTTATAATAATTTATCTGTATTAAAAGATAATTGTTTATTTCTTATTAGGCTGCAGAGAAACTAAGAAGTTTATCAGAAGTACATTATAAATGTATTTGACTGAAACATTATAATTATACATTTAACTATATTGAACTTCAAACAAAAGATAATTTACTAAGTTCTTTTTATATGAAAAATAAATTGTGATGCTATGTTGTTTCAAATATAGCATTTTCTCCTAATTGTTAAACTTAATTATAAAAGAATTTCCACATACAAATTACTAAGATGCCTTGATAAATATTGGCATCACTCACAAGGGGACCTTACGGTCTCGGAAATTCAGTTCAGGATGAGACTTCACAGGCTATTTGTATACTCTAGGGTGTCTACCCAGAATAATTGTAAAGTGCACTAGCCAGAAGATTCCGAGGAAAAGGGGTCTAAAGTTTTAAGTACTGCTCATATACTGGTCGATTTTACACTATGGCAGCACAGCGAAATAGGTGTCTGTAGCGAACTTGCCATGTGGGTGATCTAGGTTCATCCTATCTTCGGCTAACTTTTTTTTTAACTGTTTTAAAAATTATAACAACTTTTTATTTTAAACAATTGGCACATTGTCGTGATGAAGTTTCCACATGTCCTCGATGTCACTTTGAAGAGGAGGGTCATGCACTGCCAGTCTTTTGAGAACTTCCAAGTAGAAAACATTTACAGTGGTCCTGGCAGGTACAAATTTGTGGTGAATAATGCCTCTGACGTCAAAGAAGACAATGAGCATGGTTTTGATCCTGGACTTGCTCATGTGTGCCTTCTTGGGGCAGGGCGACTTGTGCCATCAGAAAACTTGTGATTTGGACAAGCAATCTCTCCCAAAGGCCTGCTGAATTAACCTGTCCTGTGTTGACCTCATTGATCTGCGTGGGCGATCCCGAATATTTCCGTGTTTACATCGGAACATTTTTGATACTAGATGTCGCTTCGCGTCACAATTTTTATATTAAAACGAACTTTTAAAATAACATTTTTTCCGTTTTTATATTATTTGATAAATATATTTTGTTTGTGAAACATAAAAAAAAATTTTTTTACGATACAGTAAGCACGATTATTATTTTAAAAAAATTAGGCTTAACATCGATGAAAATTCAACATGGCATCACAGGCAATAAATAAAAATTTCAACATAGAATAGGTTAATGTAAAGGTTTTGGTGGTGGACTTCCCAAGTTTAACACAAAATTTGATAACGTAACATTGCTCCACAAAATGATCCATTGCACCGTGTTACTTTAAATCAAAATGGGGTTCATGGGAATGAACGTCCTTGTCCACCAGCAGCTTGGAAGCAAATAGCTTCAAAACTCGCTTGGTCTCAACACACCACACCAATTAGTGCAGCGGGTTAGAACTAGATATGACGTATCATCGCATCATGAAAAACTTGGTCGCATTACTTATGGAAAGCACCTTGTATAATTCAAAACTGTTAGAAATTAGAAGAAAAATTGTTAATTATCACTGTCTACTAGGATTTTGTATCCAATTGATCACAGCAGTATAGTAAGTCTTTTATTACTATATGGAAGTCCTAGTAGATGATAAAGGGCAAGTTGTGTATATACTATTTTTCATTATTTATCAACTTTTTTTTTCTAACATTCAAAAAAGACAATTGACAAAAATGTCATTTCATCATTTGATTGATAAATTCTAAATAAATTGGATATAGTCAACTCACATTAATACGAATCACTAGAGGAACAATATTTAATACAAAGTTTCAATGACCTTGAAATTTCTTACTTTGCTTTAAGTTTGTATAATTTACAGAATTAGGGGTATAAAACATCATCAGACCATGCTCTTTTTTGGACAATATACTAATAAATGGTCATAATTTTTATGCTATTTTGTCTTTGTTGTTGAAAATAATTTTTCTCCTTGATTTTTAGGCATGTGGGAAATTGCAACATGGTCCCAAGTGATTTTTTTTTTTCTGATTACATTGAGCATAAAAGATGGCATATGATCCATTTTAAATTCAACAGAACTACCACATAAATGGATCAATACAAATTTGAGAAAAATAGAATAAAGTAAGATTTTCTACTCAAATATTTATTTTTGTGCTATATATTTTCATATTTATTGTGCAAGAAAATTATGAGAAATGTGCAAATTTTGCTTCCCCCAATCTTTTTTCCCTAAAAAATTTAAATTTCTATTAGCATTCTATCAAAAAAATTTACTAGGTAAAATGCAGTTTCCATTACATTTATATGGCTATTGTTTTCCCAAAGTAACACAGCACAGATTTCAATGTATAGTGTATGTTGCATTTCTGCAACACATGGTGCTTAAAGATTTTGATTGCCTATACATATATCAAATTAATTTTATTATAATTTTCAAATCAAACAAAATAAGAAGGTAGTATATCAGAGTGATTAAAGAAATCATGATTTTCAAACAATGTTCTTTGGTGCCAAAACAGTAAAAATGTAGCCAAACCTGTCATCATGTATGCATGAAACTACATCCATTCAAAGGGGTGGGTGTCCTTAAAATTTCACCCCTATGTCCCGAGCACAGTAAAATGGTCTGCTAAAACCAGATGTTTGAATTTCTCTACAATTGGGGGTTGAACTTGTCCTTACTTCCTAGAGAAGAAAATTATTTTACTCAAAATAGAACAATTATTATGTATCATGTTGCTTTTTACACTTTTCAACGTGAATAATAAAATTATTATTGGAAATAAAACTATTTTGTGGATGACACGAAGGTAATTTATTGTTTGGGTTAACAAATTCTGGAAAAATTTGTTATTGTGTGAACATTAATGTTTTCAAAATGGGTGAAATTTGCTTTATTGGTGTAAATTTTAAGGCAAGTTGCCCCATTTATACTCCTCAAATTTACATTAAAACCTGTATTTATTGTTATCCTAATAATTATACCCATTTTATTTTAGTTAAAACCAAATTACTATTTATAAGTGAAACTTTATGGTTTAGTCTTTAAATTTTATATCATTGTATAATGATTCAACTTTATATGAATTGTTTGAACTGAACTATTATTCCCATATAATTCCACAAATTGGATTCCTTCAGAAGTCTAAAGATTGTATGCTATTCTCTTGATAATTTTTAAGCCATAAACAAATTTACAGTAATACCTCGGTTTTCATTGATTATTTTCGCAAAAAATTTGTCTTGGTTGATAATTGGTTGTGTGAGAATTTACCTCCCCTTGCATTTAGCCAATCAACTCCTCTATGAGAGCCGGACAGCCAAGCAATCAAAGGAGGCAGCCTACTACTATGGGGGGACCCGGGATCTAATGCGCATGGGTCAAAAAATCCCCAGGAATTTTTCAGGAGTGGTCCGTCTGGATATGTCAGGCCCGTCACTCACCACCCAGCTGCTGCCACATTGTGGGCCAGGCAGAACCCATAACAGGCTTGCTAAAAGAGGCCCTCTTAGTGCCCCATGGGGCACTAAGAGAGCCTCTTTTAGCAAGCCAAACAATTCCATTGTTTCCTTTCCTTTTAGCTTCATCATGGGACCAATGAAAGTTTCCACAGCCAGCAGCCCTTCGAATGTCATGTTAAATGTTTATTTATTCTTTTATATTCATTTTATATTAATGTAAAGACTAATTTCTTATCATTTTCAGTATTAAACACACTAATTATTCTTTATAAAATGTGTTTNCTGGATATGTCGGGCCCCGTCACTCACCACCAGCTGCTGCCCCATTGTGGGTCTGACAGAACCCATAATGGGCTTGCTAAAAGAGGCCCTCTTATTGCCCACAGGGCAGAAAGAGTTTTAAAAAAAGCCAAACAATTCCATTGTTTCCTTCCCTTCTAGCTTCGTCATGGGACCAATGAAAGTTTCCACAGCAAGCAGCCATTCGAATGTCATGTTAAACATTCATTTATTCTTTACATTAGTCTTTTATATTCATTTTATATTAATTTCTTATCATTTTCAGTATTAAACACTCTAATTATTCTTTATAAAATGTGTTTTTGGTATGTATTTTTGAGTGTCTAGAATGAATTAATTGGATTTACATTGATTCATTCCAGACACTCTAAAATACATACCAAAAAATAACAAGAAATTAGTCTTTTATATTCATTTTATATTAATGTAAAGACTAATTTCTTATCATTTTCAGTATTAAACACACTAATTATTCTTTATAAAATGTGTTTTTGGTATGTATTTTTGAGTGTCTAGAATGAATTAATTGGATTTACATTGATTCATGTGGAAATAATTGCTTTGGATTTCGTCAATTGTTTTCGGACGGATTATTGACGAAAACTGAGGTATCACTGTACGTTATTAAAGTGCTTACGGGAAAAATCTGAAGTATTATAATTTGCTTAGACTATATTAAATTCTTCACATAATTATAAAATGAGATTATTGTTATTAATTGAACAGTATATGTATGAATCAGATAAATTACATTAAATGTAAAAATAAATATTGAAATAAGTTTATTCCTTTTAATTAAAAAACACAATCAAGAATATATGATTACCAGTTTCAAATTCTCTTCAAATTATCATTGGCATTAAGACAAGAAAATAGGATAAACACCAGTAAATTGTCTTAAACACACAAAATATTTTTATATTGATTTATGTTTTGTATTAGCTTCAGCTCTCTTCTTTCTTTAGTTTTTAGACTTCTTTAAGCATTGATATCCAGTTTTAAAAAATTATGAAATGATCAAATAAGATAGTAGAATATGTTCTTCTCAAACATGCTTACTGTTTGCAAGGTGTCAAAGTCTCTGACAAAATGTCACTGGTCTTGGAAGTAGATTCTTTTGACACAACACAAAGCAATTCTAATGCGTTTGTCATCAGAATTACATTTTCTCAACGCGACCAAAAATCTCAAAAATAGTTTAGCTTGATGACAAGAACACAGTCAAGTGGGAAGAAGTGACAAGATCAATTTCCTCTATTGAAAATACTGTAACAGCTAGTTCAAACGTGAAATGGAAAAGTGTTTTTTTTTTTTTTACATTTATTCCCTGCTTAGAACAGTAAATGTAATATTTAAAATTTTTGCTAATCATTGCAATGTCAAGGAAACATCAGTAAGCAATGTCTTAATTATCTACATATTGATATCATAACAAAAAAAAAGTCACTCTCTTGGCTGAGAAACTTAACAGGAACTTAAAATTAAAAAGACAAACACCTCAAAATTACATAATTTACACAGCTAGTTGAATTATCTCCCGCACTTGCAATTGTAATACAGGCCTCGAAACAGAAAATGACTTCAAAATTAGTCAGAATAATAAATCCTGGCAAGGAAACAGTGACTGAAACAAAATTAGTTGGCCACAATGATATACGTTATTTGTAAGGTTCAAATGTTATTTTACATTCATGGGTTTTGTTTCATTTGACATAATTTATTTCGAGAATGTTTTCTTTTGTTTAAAGGACAATACTATAAGTTAATTATGTTAATATGATAAATAAAGCAACCATAATTTGTAATTAATTATGACCAGAAAATACTGCTGTTTGCCACAGCAGCAGAATTTAGAACCAATGCTCATATAGGGTCTAGACATTTGTGTCCTTTTCTCGCATGTTTGTGCAAGAAATTCATTTCTCACTTCTGCATAAATAGTGTCGTGATTGCAAATTCTAGTCTGAAAAGTTTGTTTTTGCATAAATGCAGCCTTACGGTAAAGACTTGAATAGACTACAGTCTCTGGTAAAACCAGAACTAAAGAATCTCTGAGTTCCAGTTTCGTTTGAGTGTGTCGAATCCGAGTCAGTTAACTAAAATTAATAAAAGGGGTTGTTAATTATCCTTTGCTACATCTGTATATTTTGATCTATTCATTACTCAGTTTCTTTATTTTTTGTAGAACATAACCATAGCCTAATAAATGCCGGGTTGAAATTATTGAGAGTAGTGATCCATTCCGAGGCCTGATAACATATAAAATTAAACTAAAACGTTTCAAATAAAAATTAATTACACAGTAAACCAAGCCAGAATTCTAAACTAAACAATAATGCCTGATTTGTTGGGCCATAAGTTGGATGCACGTGTAGTATGGTCATCTTCCAAATTAATTTGTGTGGAAGCAAAGATTGAACGGAGATCCAGCTAACATAATTAGCAATGCACCTTCATGGCAAGTGAGAATTGTGGGTTAGAGTCCACTCCAGATCAATTTTTTTTTTCAGAATATTGTATTAAGATGGTGACTTAATTATCTATCTTTAGTCCAAATTCCTCTACATCTATATACTTTGTCAAGTTATGGCCTAACAAATCAGACAATTAAATTCAGCATGAGGCATAAATATTTTGAAAAATGTGAGAAGTAAACTCAATTGTAGCTTATTAAAGCCGGCAACAACACATTTCAGTGAAATAATAATTAAAAATTTGAGAGGAACTGATTTACTATTTACTTCCTGATATAATTAACTAGGAATAATACTATACATAAGTTTATTTCATATTCTGCATTACATAATTTGTTTCGGCACACAAAAGGAGAAGAAAAAAGGGAATAAAATACAAGAAATGGACTTTTGGGGATGTAATACAATAACTAGACTCGGACAAACTGATCAATATTGAAAAGAAATCTATCAGACAAACATTTTCCTACAATCAAAAAAAAAAAAATGATGTGGAGAGTAATAAAAAAAAAATGATGAAACTAGAAGAATAAGACCTTCCAAAAGGAAGAGGAAGGGGTGAGGGAGAAAAAACAAAAATAAAGGAAGCTATGCTGTAAGTAAAATCTCACTTTTGCACCAGGGGAAAAAAAAAATTAAATCAAAAATAATTTACAAAATTAATTCACCATTCAAAAAATCACTTACGTAAGCATACCTTCCAAACTTCAGTAATATAGCGTGAAGTATACAGAATCCAGCAGAAATCATTTCCATATATATGTTATTTTTTTGTTATTTTTTTTGTTTTTAAATGTCACCTGTATCTTCCCATACACCTCTAAGTACCCAGCTAAGAAAAAAAAGTTTTGGCTGGGTCAGTTCTCATTGTCATTGAAGTTTTTTTTATTTTTTAAATTTTTTTTGTCTTTTTATCTTTGACTGTTCGGCAAAATATAGCTATTGTATATCACTAATTCATCATGATTCACCGTTTCCCGAATCTTCATTGTCGTCATTATACTCCTCCTCTTCCTCTTCGTCGTTATCGTCCATGTCATCACCGTAGTCGTCGTCATAGAAGTCCGTCATGTCAGTCTCGGTTTCGGAAGGCTTGGCGCTGTGTTTGATGCAGTACTCTTCGATGGTCGTGGGTACCACCACGTTGTCTTTTTCCGCTTCCATTCGGCTAGCCAGTACTTGCTTCCTGTTGAACGATTAGTACAAAAATGATTGTGTGATTTAGGAATGGAACTATTCGATGCGAAAAGTGGCAACAACAATCTTACCTAATGATATTTTCATATTCCTTATCTTTTCCTCTGGATTCTTTCCATCGACGATACATTACGGATGCGTCGACGTTGGCAGGCGAAAATGTGTTTGGTTCGTTCAGTAGTGATATTACGCTCAACAGAATTGTTCTAAATAAAATATTTTAACAGAATTATGATCACAATCTCATCAAAGACAAATTAAATTCACCATTTAGAGTCCCATATTAGAATTCGTATTTTGTATTCACCATTTAGTTCCAAATTTGTATTAGAAAAATTAAACTTAAAATTACAGTACATCCATGTAAATCAATTGAAATGAACAACCAAGATAGTACAAACTTACCTTACATTCTGTGTAGGATTCCAACGCTCACAAGGTAATTCTCCACTCTGAGGATCGTCTACGGGAGGATGCAAGATTGAAATACACAAGTCTCCATTCTAAAAAAAAGTAAATTATTGAAATTTTATTGCATTTGATGATAATGATAACAACAAAGAACAGAGTCCCTACCTCATAAACATTAGGGTGCCATACTTTAGTCAAAAACCGAATGGTAGGTGGAGAATAAGGATAATCTGGAGGAAACCTCATGTGAGCCTGAAAATTTTAAAAATTATGAACTGGATTGAACAACACTAGAATTATGATACATTTTACATACACCTTTCCACACAAGAAGCAGTAAGTCATAGTATGACATATATTTATTTACGTCATAGTTTAATACTAGAAACTATGATAAAATGCAGACACAGAATATGTTTTGATATGAAAGTAAGATTATATCTTAAAAGTTTTAAGCTTCTAAGAATTGCAGATTTCAAGATGTCTTGCAGAAATGAATGATGGATGAAGCAAGTTTATAGAAAGAAAACTTAATTACAATTGAAATATGATTTAGCTAAGAAATAGAAATAATACTAATCAAATGAGCATTATTAAACGGAGTAATATGTGCATTCAAACACGTGCAATAAATGCATATAAATGATAAATTATTACAGTAGAGCTTCAATTATCCGAATCAATTGGGGACTGGGGTTGTTCGGAAAATTGATTTTTTGGATAACTGATTATGTACGAAAAAATACATTATTAATATAGTATATTGCAATAATAGTATATTAATATATCCCATGTTTAAATTTTTCTCTGTTGCATGTCACTTCACATTGAATTTTTGTCGATGTTAAGCCTAATGAAAATTTTTATAATAATCATCGTGGCTATTATATTGTTAAAAATTATTTCTTTATTTTGTACAAACAGAATAAATATATTGAAAAATATAAAAACGAAAAAAAAAAATTATACTTTAGAAGTTAATCTAGTATCAAAAACATTCAGTTCATCATGACACAGTCCGAGTGGAATGCTTTTGGTTAACCGACGTTTCGGTTGATCGGCATTCAGATAATTAACGCTTTACTGTACTTCACAAAAAAATCAAATAAAGTTATTTAAATAGTAGTAATTCTATAAAATTTTAATTCTCTCTCATACAACAGGACAAGTTTTTTCCTTTAACAAATCTTAAACGTGTAAATATGTAATTAATAAAAATGTATTACCAGTTTATCAATCAAACATGTTTAAAATAATGACTATTCTTTGCAATATATTAACCAGTGCATAAATTGAGAGTAGAGGGGGTATAAAAAGGAAAAATTACATCACAAAAAAAGGAAGAGATTTTTTTTAAGACCTGTAATTTTTTCTATTAATAAATCAATATTAAGGAAGAAGGTTGCAAAGAGGAAGTACAGAAATTAACATGGAAAGATTTGCATACAAACAAGAATTAGGCAGTGACTCAAAGTGCAATTACCTTTTAAAACTCAATGGGGAAGAAGAATCAGATAAAAAAATATTGTTATTTATGTATTGTTCTAATATAAACATTCCATATACCTGATTTTTATATTATTATTAAGTAATGCCAAATGATCTGCCCATATTACTCTTATTATAGCCTGATAATACTGCAGATTGTTTGGCATTACTTCAAAATATGGTTTATGGATTATTGATATATGTACAGTACATATACACCATATCGAGACAAAAGCATTAGAAAGCCGAGAGCCATGGTGCAGTGGGCATTAGTCATTCCAGATCGGTGCCACAAGTAATTGGTATGATTATACCTAATAGCACCGAAAACAAAGATTGGATGGAGTTCCAGATAGCATAATTGGCAACCCATCTGCATGGAAAGTAAGAGTTGTGAGTTTGCGTCCCACTCCGGGACAATTCCTTTCTTTTAGAAATTCTAAATTAAAATTAAACTTCTTAACATTATTATGGGATGGTAGCGTAACTGCCCACCTCTAGTAAAATTGCATTTAATTATTAAATTAGACTTATCATAGCCCATTAATATGGCAGATTGGCATCATCTAATAGTTCATTAAATTTATTTTGTTATCTAAAGAATAATTTGAAAAAAATCATCATTTTGTGCAATTTACAAAAAAATCTCCTTTCCTTTAAGTTGTTAACAGAATGTAAATAATGTGACTAATCAACTAACAACTCTATAAAATATGTTAATATTTTTGCATTTTTTGGTACATTGAAAAGATATAGAATATATGAAGTATGAATGATGGAATATCCTATTACAAATAAAAGCATTTATTCAAATTTAATAGTCTACTTCATTACATATCAAACATTCAACAGTTAATCATCTTATCATTCGAGTCACTCGTGGCTAATAAATTGATAACATTGAGAAAGTCCTCGCTTCCCAATGCATTTACCTTCACCTCATTTTGCTACTTTATTAGAGAATTTAATGGAACTTATTATGGTAAAAGAACAATTGCAAGACATTCTAATTAAGAATATATCTTGCAACGTTGGCAACAGGACAACGTTACATTAGTTTGCAAGCTGACATGGATCCAAAACTTGTCTGCCTATCTAGCATAAATTGCCACAATTATTAAAGAAGATATTAAACAATTTTGTAAATAAATTTTACGAAAATACAAAATAAAGTGTCAAAAGAATTTATATTATGTATTAATGTAAACTTTTTACTTAATTATCCTCTACAAACTCATCAAAACAAATCACACTGTAAAAAAATTAAAGATTTGTTATAAACATCAGTTATGCATGGACAATCATGAATATAATCAACTAAGACAGCCTCAAACTAGCTATCAAAGAACAATTAATTAAAGGTTCTTGAAAGCAAAAATTCTATTCTAAGTGTATTAAAATGCACTTAGAGATGAATACAGTAATTTTTTGATTTGAAAATATTCTAAGTTGTCTTTATTTCTCACAAATAAACTTACCAAAATTTATGGCTACAATGAACTAGTCTCACATATTTACATTAAAAATAATAGCTTAATAGATAAAATAGAGAATCTTTTTAATAAAATTAAAAAAAAAAACACCGACAACTTAACTTCTTCTAATTCATTATTAGAAACAAAAATAGAACGTAAGTACAATAAAAATTAATTTTTTATTAGCATGTTTTTGGATGTTTCTATAGTAACCTTATCTATTTTACATTAATATTGCTAGTAATCTATTAATGGATCCTCTTAAAGGCAATCTTGGCATTACCTTTCATTTATACTTGTCCTCATTACCTACATTTGCTAAAAAAATTCTAAAAATAAGTTTTCACTTTGCTACAAAATATGAAGGATGGAGATTAAATCCCTGCACTAAGTTTTTCTTTTATGCCTATGGCTTATGCTCCGAGCTGATAATAGAAAAAAATGGAAATAAATAATTAGATCCTTTTGTTGTATCTAATATTTTTAAATAAATCATATAAATTTATCCTTGTGTTATTGTAAAGCAAGTTTATTGTCATTTTCACTGTAAGATAATGGAAAAATTATGGTTTTTATATTAAAAAATGTTGTGACAAGCACCCAAAATCAATTATAAAAGTCAAAATTTAATTAATAGACTCTTAATTTTATAATTGTTTATGCTTTAGTTAAGTTTAATATGGCCTGGAAATAATCAGCAATTAAAAGTTAATTTAACTATTGAAATTTGGCCTGAAGGAACGCAATTGTGCCACAAACTCAAGAAGATTTTCAGTTAATATTATTAACCTGAGTTAATAATCATAGTGTCTCTTGTCTGTCCTAAATTAGTAATTAATTTTAAATTTTCTTTATCAATTCTTATACAAGATATAGGTATAAAAGATTATATTTGCCAAGGTTTGGTAATTAATTAATTTAATTAGCCTTAAAAATAAACTGACAATTTAGGATCAACAAAAACTTATTTCTATATGTTAAATTCAAGAATATTTCTGAAAAAAATCATTTTAGCTGATCAAGAATTGACATTTTCAAGCTTTAGTTAGCAATTTTTCAACATTTTTCTCAAATTTATGCTCAATCTTTTAAAATAATAAAACATTTCATATGAAATAACTGAATATAATTGTCAATTATATAAATCAGCATTCAGATATGTAATAATTCAACTTGGCACACTATTAAGAAATAAATTTATTTGTTGGGGTTCTTTTACACAAAGCATCTCAAACAAATAATTCATTCTGCCATGCTCCTAATGGGTATTCACATTTTATAATACATGAAAGATTACTATTGTTTTGGAGCAGGACATCTGTCTTGATCCTATCAGTATAAATTTGCATGCAAGAAACAGGAAAAGCAATAAATTTCTGATTGATTATTGTAAACAAGCAAGAATAACTTAAATTGTCTACTTAAAAAACAATAACCTTGAGTAAGTTCACCGAGGTGAGTCACACCTTGTCGAGTTATTTTAAATGCATTGTATTTGCTATAAAGACAGTGACACGGGTCAAGTTCCCGTGTATCTTCTTGAAATATCTGGCAGTGGGCAGTAGTGTTTCCAACTTGAACTGGAGTCGTATATCCAAGCATTAAAACGTGTTTCATTATGAGTGTTGTTCACCTCGTCATGCTAATAATATACTGTCAAATATTTCACAATTAAATATATATTTTGTGATGAGAATTCATTTTACCAATTGACAGGCAATGCAACTGCCTAAACCTAGATATGAAACAAAATTACTATTAATATGTAGTGGGTTTTTCAAGGAGAAATTGCTTTAAAGGTGTGTTACTTTCAAGGCAGCTAAATTATTTATGGTATCTGAAAAGGCATAAGGATATGGTATTAAATTCTTAATCTTTATTCACTTAATTTTCATTTCAGAATTGAAACAAAGTTATACATCCAAGTGTTTGTAAATTAATAAACAAACTATGACCTCTGATCTCATCAAACAACACTATTTGGAATGAACAACAAATTTTTTAAACATGCAAAATACAATAAAGCAGTGTACAATAATTGTAATCAGCATTAAACAAGCAAACTTAATGCTAGTTTAAACAATTAAATAGGCATTTCACATCCAAATACAAACAACTTCAAAGTTCTTTTGCAAATATTTTACACTACTATCGTATAATAGTTGCAATGTATAAGAAATTACAAAGCTAAAACAAGACAAAGAACTTAATTTACTGTTAACATTGCATCACAAAACTAAGAAAAACAGTTTAATCACTCTGTCTCTGTAAAGGAATTATTTGATCAGA